GTCCGCCCGTCTTGCTGCACACACGCCCATGTTGAAGTTGCTGTGTGCCGAACACACACCGTGGTCAGAAGGATCAGACGGAGCCCTCGAATCTCGCCTTAATTTCGCCCTCACGCCAACAGCATCACACAGAGGTCCGCGTCAGAGTCCACATCATCAAGAGCACGGCAAAGAACAGACAGAGTCCGGGCTATATACAACCGGGAAAACCCTGCTGGTGACGGGCACGCTATCGTCTCCCAGCGCCAGGGTGGAGATGGCAGGCGCATCTCCCTCCGCTTCAGCAGCACTGCTCTACTCGTACGCTACTGTGCGGCGACAGGCACATCCTCTCTCATCAGTGGCTCATCAGCAAAGAACTGCGCAAGCAGAGGCAGCGAGGGACGAGAGGAAGAACAGCAAAGAAAAGCCAGGCAGCATCGCAGAGCGTTGGGCAACGGTCACACAAAACAACGCACACAAAGCTCGCCAACTCAACAGTATCTGCCCACCCGTAGGTGTGCTCGGCTAGGATGCCCATCCGTGCGGCTGATCTGGAGGGATGCGGCATTGCAGATGACTGCAAACACCAACAAACCAAGAAAGAGCATGATTGCTCCTGATCAAGCGGCTCCTGAGTTTACGATACTGGGGGCCCTGGGGGTAAGCTAGCGGCTCGTATCGACATGCGTTCGTCTTCTGCCGAGGAGGAGCTCGCGCCAGCTCTAGAGCGCCCTGAACCTGTTGCTCGACACCCAGGCAGACTGTCGCCACGCCGCTCACGCACATTTGAAGACTCCAGTGAGAATGTTCCAAGCCCGACATCCAAAGCAGCCACGGCCGCCGGCACGGGCGACAGGCAGCGGGGTCCTCTCACCATATTTGATCCCTCCCATCCCATGCGGCGGCAGGACTACGCTGCGCTGCCGACCGATGGCACAATGGGCCCGGCCCCGCCGTCCAAGGCAGAAGTCAACACCCAGCGCTTTATCGATAGCTGCAGGTGCACGGCAAGACAGCTCTGTATCTACGAGTGACTGTTGTCTGTTTGTGTAGGCTTGAGTATGAGAGCGAGGAGTGGTCGTTCCCTGGATGGGGCTCCCAGTATACGCTGAACACAGGCATCAAGGGCATGTCCTTCTACGAGAGGGATGTGGCGCTGGGGGAATTGGAGGCCACGGCCATCTGTGGCAACGACATCACCTCAAGCTGTACGCACACAGCCACCCATCATCCACACCATCCAGCTCTGTGTTTATATATATCTCTAGGTTTCTACGCCACCGGTGAGCTGATAAAGGAGAGCGGGATGCTGGCGCCCATCTGCTCGCTATTCGCCGCACTGACTCTGCTGCTCTTCCGGTTCATCTATGGCGAGGTGGTCATGGCCCTGCCGCTGAATGGTGGCGTGTACAACTGTCTGCTCAACTCGAGCCAGAAGAGCACGGCATCGGTTGCAGCATGCCTCACCATCTTGTCATACATAGCCACGGGAGTGGTGAGCGCCGTCAGTGCCGTCAACTACCTGGTCGGTGCTCTTGCGTCGCCCGGTGGCAATGCGCTCGGGATCGTGCTGGACGAGAGTTTCAACGTGGTGCCCATTGCAATAGCCATTCTCGCCGTGTTCGCCATATTGCAGCTGGTGAGTGGATGATACACACACAGGCACATGTGCAGCCACCCGCACATATGTATTATCCCAATGTCTCAGATTGGTCTGAAGGAGTCGTCGTTCGTGGCCGTGCTTCTCTTCATCGCCCACCTGACGGTGCTGGCCGTCCTCACCACATGGGCCATCAGCTTCCTGGTCGCCCACGGCCCGCAGCCGATATGGAACACCATCAAGCACAACTTCGCCGTCCACATGAAGCTCATCCGTGCCAGATACTTCGTCGACGAGGCCCTGCTCAAGCTGGAGAACGAGGAGGAGGGACTGGGGGGCGGGACACCTGGACAGGTGCGAAGCGAACGATGCAGTGGTGAAGTCAGTGAGACATCGCTGTTCGGATGTGGGGCTTGGGTGTTTGTGCACACAGTTGGGTGCTGTTGAAGGTCCACTGGGCACGTGGGGTATGTGGTCTCGCGCGCTGGCCGCCGGCTTTTCGGCAGCCATGCTAGGGACCTCAGGTCAACACACACATACACGCACATAGACACACAGGCAGCAGAGCGAGTGGATGTCTGATGCAGGATTTGAGACGAGTGCGAATTTTGTGGAGGATCAGAAGGCCGGTGTGTTCCCCCTGACCCTGCGCAACATGTGGGCGTTGGTGAGTGTCATCAACCCCGTCCTCAGCACACTCACCATCATCATCATGCCACTCGACCACCTCCTCGTCTCGAGTGTTGCCGTAAGCAAACAACAAACGCCCGCTCCCGCACCAGTTGTCTCTCTCGTGTGTGTCAGATGCCGCCGATGCCGCTCGGCGGCCCTGGTGGAGGGGAGAGGGCTGGCGAGGTGGCGGTGACGCTGCGCCTGCTTGCAGAGAGCACGCGGAGCGACACTCCACACAAGAAGGCTTACACATATGCCGTGGCCATGCTCGCTGACAGATGTACGTCCGTGAACACACACAAATGTGTCACGTGCAGCTCTTTCTTTTTCTCTTTCTCTGTGTGTGTCAGTGGGCGGCCCGTGGCTGCGTCTCGTTATCGCATTTGATGCTATGCTGGTTTTGTCGGGATCGGTGCTCACCTCATACGTCGGGGTATACACCCCTACACACACACACACACACGGACTTCTGACATGAGATGTGTGTGTGTGTGTGTGTGTAGGTGACAGGTTTGATCGACCGTATGGCGTGCGACGGCTGTCTGCCCGAGTGGTTTCTCGAGGTCAACCCATGGCGCGGCACGGCACACTGGAGCATACTCTTCTTCTTCGGTCAAACAGACACACACACACACACACACACAACAGACAGACAGACAGACAGGCGGGATGAGTGTCTGTGTCCGTGCAGCTGTGTGCAGCAGTATGTGTCTGGTGTGCAACGGTGAGATCGACTCGCTGGCGGCCATCTACTCGATCGCCTTCCTCCTCGTCATGTGCCTATTCGCCGGCGCCGGACTCTACCTCAAGATATCGAGACCGAACCTACAGAGGCCGCAGAGGTCCTGTCAGCCACACATCGAGAGAGATGAACCATATGTGTGTGATGTGTTACGTTGTGGTGTCTCACTTTTTGCCTGTGCAGGTACTCTGCGTGGGTGTTTGTGTGGGGTTTCATCCTCGTGGCGATCGCCTTTGTGGCGGTGCAGCTGGAGCACCCGAGAGAGCTCTCGCTTTTCTTCTTCTACTGGTTCATCGTTGTGGTAAAGAAGCCATAGGAAGCAGACAGCGCGCGAAGGCAGGTGTGAAAGAGTACGATGGATGGATGCTGTCGTGTGATGTGAACAGGTGTTGGTGATGGCCACATTTTATCGCACAAGAGTCGCAAAGGTCATCATCCAACTGCTTGGGTAAACAACAGCAACTCGCCAGAAAAAGTCATGCATGCCTTCTCTCTCCTTGACGCCGATCAGTTTTGCCCTCGGCCGCACCGACGTCGCCCACAGCCGGCATTCTTCCCAGCGTGCGTCCTTCGGCAGCACATCGGCCCTGCTCGACTCGCCCCAGCCTGAGCCCATCACTCCTCCTCCTTCGCCACCGCCACCGCCACCGCCCCCGTCGACGTCTCTTCTGTCGTGCATGTATCAGTCGGTCCGGTGCTGCGCCACATGCTTCTACGCGCCAAGATCGGCGCTTGTCACGCTGCACGAGTAGGGAAAAGGGAGCGAGTGAGATGGCGGAATGGGGCTGAGTGTATATGATGTGATGCGTCTCTCGGGTTGTTCTTTGCAGCGCCCTTGTGGTGTATGTGCAAAAGTGTCGGAGCCGGTCGGTCATCTTCTTTGCAAAGACGGGTGGGTGCGGCCATCTGTGGTGGTGCAATCTGTGGGTGGTCAGTGATTGTGTTGTTGTTGTTGTTGTTGTGTGTCTTGTCGACAGCTGACTTGGCAGTGCTGAACAAGGCCATCATGTACATCATGGCCAACGAGGAGGCAAGATGGGTCAGAGTGTGCCACGTAAGCTGATCCACTCACTGCTATCAAACAGCCTTACTGACACGAGACGAAACCTTTTTGCTATTGTTCAGTGCTTTCTTTACACCGAGACCGTGCCAAAGTGAGAGCGGCAAGCAACTAGTAGATGAGCATCTGACAGATCCCTCCCTCCCTCCCTCCCTCCATGTGTGTGGTGCAGGAATATGGGCGAGTATGTCGCCATCCTCGATGCAGTCTATCCAAAGGTGACACGTACAGTGCCGTGCTGCAGGCCTGTATGTCTTTTGCCCAGCATGTGAGTGTGCCTGCGTTTTCCCTTGTGTGTGTCTCAGATCCGTATCGACTGCGTGTTCGTGAGAGGTCGCTTCGGGCATGACGTCATTACCTTCCTCACACGAGAGGTAGCAATGCGACTTTTGCTCGCTGGCTGGCTGGCTGTACGATCATGTGCGATTGTTTATTTGCAGCTGGGTGTGACCCCCAACAACATGTTCATCTCATGCCCAACATCCAACTTCAAGTGAACAACTAACTCTCAGATCGATTGAGCAATGTCTGCCCGTCATGTGCTCCCGCAGGCACCGGCTGGAGTCTCTTGGTGGTGTGCGTGTCATCCTGGGGAGCGACCCGCATCCCCTGCCGAAATACGCAGATCCTTTCCTCTCCCCCCCACTCCTCAACACCGTCAGAAGAAGACACACCACCATGACCACACACGCAGGAGGGCGGCTGTCCACCACCCACTCAGCCCTCACTGACCAGTCGCCCCGCCCAGCCAGAGCCAGATGGGGGGGCATCCCACGCGCACATGCGGCCTTCGAGAGGCGCGCGCAGTCTGTCGACGTGGGTGGCTGGGGGTCGGGCGGCACGGGAGACATGAGTGGGCGGGCTTCGCGGCAGCAGCCGCAGATTCAGAGGAGTGGTTTGGCGGCGATTGCTGAAGGGCAGCAGCAGGGAGAGGAGCCGGCCAGGAGCCGGTCGGTGCCGCCGCAGGAGGGGGAGAGGGGCGTGGAGGGGACGGATGGGGAGGGGAGCGCTCCTGCTTCTGCCACGGTGTCGCCGAGAGAGGGAGATCCTTTGCTTGACCAAGGGGATGACCAGGGGGCGGTCAGGCTGCGCATACACTGATGGCAGCGTTATATTTACTGGCTTGGCTGTCTGCGTGCGTTTGAGCAACGAAGTGCTTATTCGCATGCACACATGTATGAGCGCCTTACGTGCCGGGTGTGTAAGGTAAGTGTGTGACTGGCCTATGTCTCAATGCATGTCTCTGTCTCTGCCAAGCTATATGGCCTTAGCTTTCCGTCTCCTAATCCAGCGGTATACGAGGAATCCGATCAGAAGTGGCAGCGCTATGAGCAGCATGATGGTGCCGACGAACGAGACACGGATGCCACACCTGCCGACCGGCAGGAGAATATACTCCACGGTGTCTTTGCCCTAACAGAAGACAGCACACACACACACGCACCACACACAATGACTCATCAAGGAAGGATGGGAAGCGGCATTTGGATGATCTGACGAAGAGTTCTTGGAGGACGTTGGCTTCCTTGCACTCATGTACTTCCCATATCTTTATGCTTCCAATGAACAGCATGTCGCCGGCTGCACACACGAACACACCAGCACAGCACAGCACAGCACGCATACACGTCCCAAGGTGAACAGTTTCTCTTCTCGGTTCAATGGTGCTTACGGTCATTGCAGTGGCAGAACTCGTTATAGAAGAAGAAGCAGTCCTGCTGGTTGAGGGCCGAGCTCACCACGGAGTCAGGCGCCAACCGCTGCTCAATCGGCATACAGTAATGAACTGGGATTGCACAACCCTGTATGTATGTATGTGACACAGACAGAAAGACACAGAAAGAGAGATAAAAGAGTCAAGATGACCTGCCGCATGACGAGCTCCCTGACTGACTCCTTCCCTGCCTCTGCCTCCCACCTTCCTGGCATTGTTGTCTGTCGGGTCAGGTGGGCATTTGGGTCTCTTCAACGGTGACAGACAGGGCAACATCAGGCGACATTTGGGTCTCTTCAACGTTGAGGTCACCCACCTTCTTGGCGTTGAGCACCATCTCATTCTGCAACTTCAGGCGGTGCACGAGGAACTCAGCCAAAGCGCACAAGTAGTCGTTCCTGCGAATATGGGACGGCACCCCGCATGTGATGGAAACACTCGGACTCCCCAAAGTGATGTGCTCTGCCTCGGGAGCCGGGGGTCCCAGCCGCCTTTGCAGAGCGTTGGCGATGCGGTTCACTGCAGAGCGCCTGTTGTCATGCTCAACAGAGGAAGAGGTGACGTTGACGAGGCCTAGGTGTGAGGCGAGGAGGGCTGGGACGTCGGGGTAGTGGTGTGGATGGCTGCTGCTGCCAGAACCTGATGACAGCCGATGGAGCAGCGATTTCCGCTGGTGGATGAATTTGTGGTGGATGCAGCAGATGGGGCGGGGAGGGACCAAGAGAAACAGCAACGGCAGCGGCAAGGAAAGGCGGAGCACCATCGTGAGACGCCAGACACCCCCAGGCCCCCGCTCGGAAGGTGTAAACTTCAAGTTTTGGTCCTTTAGACAAGGCGGTGCAGCGATGAGGCTTTCTCGGCCGTCGCACCACGCTGACAACCACCACCACGATGATCCGAAGAGCCGCCGACAGACCACACACCATGGCTCCCTGCCCACGGTGGTGCTGCTCATCATCGCCACAGTGCTCACGAGCTTCAACGAGCAGCTGCTGCCGACCTCACTCAAGATCCCGGAAGGATTTGGCGCCGGCGGCAAAGGAGATCTGGTGCCCTTGCTGTCGGCCGCCATCGGAATGGTCGTGTGGGGCATCGCGGTGGACCACACGACCATCCCGCTGCAAAGGCTGATAAGCACGGCAACCACGTTGCTCGGGGCGTCGGTGGCATTCTTCTCCTTCGCCCAGACGGCATGGTCCTTCGTTACTCTAAGGGTAACAAAAAGAGCCGCACTCAGGTCATGCAGAGGGCCCCTGCTCATGGGTATGTCGTCTGTGTCCGCAGGTATTGTGCAGTTTCGCATTTGCGAGCGTCGGTCCCATCTGCCAATTTGCGATTCAGCAGACGGTACCTCAAGGCCGCCGGGGGAAGCTGTTCGGCCTCCTCCATCTCTTCAGCGTTTTCGGGCTACTCTTCGGCGGATGGGCCACCGCATCACTCTCAAGTTTCTTCACGCTGGGACTGCCGGTATGGCAGACCGCAACATCTCTATCCTACGGATGGACACGTTCTGCACTCTCTCGCCGTGTGTTCTCTCAGGGCTGGCGTCTCGTCTACGCGATAGTCGGCATCATCACGTTCCTCATCGGCCTCGGAATCGATGATGCCTCCACCTTCAGTCGATGGATGCCGTGGGCCATCTCCCACCACGCCCCTGCGCCCCCCTCCTCAGCAGCTGACACCAACAGCGAGCAGAGCTCAGAGGACACTGAGGTCGCATCGACGATGTGTCCCGGAGACCATGTGGCCGTCGTGACGAGCGGCGGGACCAATAGCATGAGTGGGAGTGCCAGCCACAGCAGCATGGCGGGGTCCGACATGGGCGTGGGGGAGGTGATGCACCACCACCATCTCCACCAGCACCATGAGCCTGCGTCGACACTCATGACCATATTCAACCCCACAGTCATCGTCATATTCATCGAGGTCGGGATGGGAGGGAGGGAGGGAGGTGGCAAGCACACAGCACACACTCGGTTACTTCCTCTCTCTGCCTGTCTCTGGCTCTCAGGGTCTCTTCTCCTGGGTGCCGGCGACGTCCCTGGTCTTTGCCACCACACTCTTCCAGTACAGCCGCGTGTCGGACATCCCGGCATCCTTCATCATCTCCCTATACTTCATTCTCGCGGCTGCCATCTCGCCTCTCGGCGGGTGGGTGTCCGATGCGGCCTTCGCATGGTCGCCCCCGCACGGCCGCCCTCTCGTGGCGCAGATTTGTGCGGCGGTCAAGGTCCTCATAGCGTATGTGCTGTTTGTGGTGCTGACGGGCGAGTGGGGTTGGGGCGGGGGCGCATACGTGGGGCAGGCGGGGTGTTTCCTCATGCTGGGCTGTCTCTCGGGATGGCCCCATGTGACCACATTGCGGCCGATACTGACCGATGTGGTGTCACAGAAATGCCACGCGACCGTCTTTGCGGTGGTGAGCAAGACTTGAATTTTTCCCTTCCCTTCCACTGTTCTGTTCTCTCTTGTAGATATACGCGTGTGGCGCCATTGTGGCGGGACTGTTAGCCGTATCGACGGTGGATGTGCTCAGCCAGCAGTTCTTAGGGTACATCAACACGCCCCTGCCCATCTCCCGCATGCCGGATGCCCTGCGCCACCACAACCAGCGGGCCCTCGGCTACTCCCTCTTCATCGTCACGGCCGTGCCGTGGATGGTGTCGGTGTGTTTGCTGTCGCTGCTGCACGTGACGTATGGGCGGGACAGGCAGAAGGCCGACGACCGACAGGTGGCCATACGGGGGGAGGTGGGGGAGAAAACCCCGCTGGTAGGGGGAGGGGGGCACGTATAAGGGGAGAGAGGGCAGATAGGCTGACATTGATAGTGATGTAGGGGATGGCTGACTAGGAAGGGGCGGAATTAATTAAGGTGTGTGTACAGGCAGGCGACTGTGTGTTTGTGTCTGCATGTGTGTGTTTGCATGAGAGGGAGGGATCATGACTTCTCGGTGCAGTCCGTGAGACGTGTTGTTTGCTTAAGTAGAGGATTGATTCTCAATCGCATGAATGCATTCATCTGGTGTCCATTTCCCCGCCGGCCGCCCATGTCCACAGGGCATATATATATATATATACACCACACCCAGTTCCCTTATCGTGACTGTGGCCGGCCAGTGGGTCGCTGACCGCTTTGAGGGCTCTGGCAAGGTAGAATTCTGTGCTTGTGTCGATGTCGCAGATCTTGGCCAGCCGCTCAATCGCATCGGGAGTGGACGGGGGCAGATACAAATGAGGTGACGCTACGCAAATCGCTCTCACGATCCTCTGCAAGCAAATAACAAGCATAAAGGGGACGACTGTCTGGGTGTGTGCCGTTCTGTTGGCGTTATTGACCTGATAGGGGTGGCTGGGGCTTGCATGCTCGCTGAAGGAAGGCATTTTGCTTGTGATACGGGATGGACCTTCTGATGTTCTTGGTCTTGGTGTGATAATACGCCATCTACGCGACCATAGTAACGATGCGAACGTCTGCGAAACCATTGCATAACTGCGCTGCACTGCATGCTTCGTGTGGCTTGGAACTCAAGCCACCCCTCCGGCTGCGACGCAAGGGCGGCCTCCTCCGCAATCCAAAGGAACTTGGGCTCCGCAACAGGGTCGATGCCAATGAGTCTCGCGATCCCTCTCCGTCTTTGCCGATAATCTCAAAGTTGAGAGATCCGTCCCTCTCGAGGTCTAGTGGGAGGCTCATAGCGCTTCCCAGGCCTCTCTCGCGTAAGTGGGGGAGGGGTGTGGCGAAGGAGCACCGCTCTTCTTGCCCTTCAACTTTGCTGACAGCGTTGCCATGCTGGAGCTCTCTTACCCATGTTTGAAGCTGCCCCGCACCCTTGCGGCTTAGCTCGCTGGCCCCCAACATGCATGTGATCGAAGCAACGGAACAGCCGTCAGATAGCCGCCTCTGTTGATACGACGATGTCTTCCAGTGGGCCGACGCAGCCACCCGGCATCGGCCTCGAGGGCAGCCCCTTTCGCTTCGCCCTCGGCGGCATTGTGGTCTATCACCACGAATGGGAGGCCTCCTTCGAACACGACAACACGTAAACAAACAATACCAGGCTCCTCAGGAACCACTGCTCACTGCAACGCGCTGCAATGCCGTTGTGTTGTACGCTGCAGGCCTGCCTTGAAGCTGCCGCATCACCGCTCCTCTCCCTCAGTGTGTCCGACGGCGCCGCCGTCAGATTCGTCATCATGCTCACCGGCGTCAACTGGCGGCGCATCGCCCAGTGACAAATCTGACGTCTCAAAGGCGGCCCCTGCAGGACCACCACAACCAGCAAACCGCCCTCCTTTGCCGGCGGCCGCCTCTGCAGAGGTTGCCGAGAGAAGGAGACAGAATGATGGCCAAAGGGGCGGCAGTCGCGGCAAGGGGTGGAGGGCCTCGCACTTGGATGCGATGGGCTTGCCGGTCCTCCCTGGCCCGCCCTCACCCTTGCGACGGACCCCTTACTTCGATGGGCAGACAGAAAACGGAAAGAAGGTGAGACACCCTACAGCATCCATGCAGAGGGCTCATCCATTGATATGATATGTTCTGTTGTTATGTGTTTGGGATGGATTCATTTAAGCTCCTCATTCCCCGGGATGCACTGATCTTCAATTCGCGGTTCGAAAGCGGTGTGCAAGCGACAAGACAGAAACAGAGAATGAATGGTGAGTGGAACACCAACAGTGTATATTCTTTCTGTCTGCAGGGAATTTGTGCATGGCTGTCCGGAGCAATCGTTCGCCGCATCACTACACTCTCGTGCTGCGACACGATGCGAATCAGCTCCAAAAGTCGTCGCAATGGTATACACGCGTATGCCTCTCTGCCCGTCTTTGTCACTCCATCTCTTTCCAAAATGTGTGCGTGCCGTTCCGTGACTGCTCAGGTTCTACTTTTCTGTGAGTCTGTCGCCCTCGACTTTGGACGCCCTCGAGTCACATCACCCGTCGAGCGTCCCTCTGCATCAAGACTACCGAGGCCACCGGTTGCCGCTGCCGTCACCTCGTGTGGTGCCTTCTACCAGCTCGTCGCCCGCTACCACACCGAGGAGCGTTGAGGACCCCATGACCTACTCCTTTCAGGTGGTGAATGGATGGAGGCGACGTGCGCATCTCGGCCCCTCATCCAGCCTGCTGCTCTGCGTTGTTCAGATTATAAATTTCACCAAGGAGGACTCCTTGTACCAAGGAGGGATGCGCCCATATGTGTATTCGACGATGGAGGCCCACCTGCGGAGCTGCCGGTCCTGCAAGGGGGGCTCTTCAGCCTCGAGGCGCAGCTGCCCAAACCAACACAGCGACAACGATGGGGCCAAGACGATAGACAACACATTTGATGTGTGGTCAGCCACAGGTGATGACTGATCGGTTTGCTGTCGAGCCACGCATCCTCTCTGTGCGTCTGCAGCTGTCGACAACGTGTCATACTACCAGAACGAGTTCCCGCGCAATCTGGACCTTGTGACGTCCAAGCGGGTGACCGTCAACCTGCCCCCGACGGCCAACGGGTTGGCAGGACTCAACAGCAACCTCACTGGCTACTATTCGACGCTCGAGTTCACCTACACCTTCCAACACCCACACGACACTGTCTACTTCGCACACGTACGTGGGAAAGGAACAAGACAAACACAACACGGCGTGGCTGCTGGCTGCCTCTCATATATATCTTGTGGGTCCATTCATCGCTCAGTGCTACCCATACACCTACACGTATCTGCGAAGCGTAATCGCCAACATACGGGAGCGGCCGGAATTCCAAAAGGTAGCAAAAAACCACTCATACATCCATGTCCCATCTCCTGACCAGTCCGGGCCCGTCGCCTCCCTGCACACGAGCTCCGTGTGTTGTGTGTTGATGGACGCAGATGTGCTCCATCCAGACGCTGTGCAAGTCAGAGGCGGGTTTTTCTTGCCCCCTGATCACCATCACCAACCCACAACCGCCCCAACCACCGCGGCAGCCCACCGACAGCCAATCCAATGATCCGCCAGATTGCCCCCTGACGGCTCCTGAGGACACACAGGAGGGAGATGTCGTCGATCCTGGGAGCCTGACGTCGCGCGTGGTGGATGAGTGTGTGGTCGACGGAGGGTCCAAGGACGCTATCGTCATCAGCTCTCGAGTGCACCCTGGGGAGTCCAACTCGTCTTGGATACTTCACGGACTGCTCAGGTTCCTGCTGTCGGACAAAAAGGTGACCGACATGCAGGCAGCTTTGCTGGTAGATGAACACCCAATCGCCACTCACTCTTTGCGGGTGCAGGAGGCTGTTTTGCTGCGCAACGAGTATCTGTTCAAGATCGTCCCGATGCTCAATGTAGACGGGGTCGTGTACGGACACTACAGGACCTCACTCACAGGTCAGTCAGCAGACGACCGCTACTGAGCCAGCCACAGCCACTCGCCCCTTTGCCATGTTGAAAGTGGCTGTCTGTCTGTCTGTCTCCAGGTGATGACTGGAACAGGGTTTGGCAAGCCCCCCAGCCGGGTCGTCACTCGGCAGTCTATCACCTCAAGGGCCTGCTCCGCAAGTACCACCAGAGGGCCGCGGCAGCCAGCCGACCCGCCCTCTCGTCCAATGCCCCTCCTGCAGCCCCCGTTGCCCCCTCAGGGCCTGGTGTGCTCGTGTACTGCGATTTCCATGGCCACTCCAAGAAGAAAGACGTATTCATGTACGTACAATTGATAACGAGAGAGACACGCACACTCGACAGCCAACGCCGGGCATGGTTCATGTACCATATTTGTGTGGGTTGGCTAACGGGCGACAGGTATGCCAATTCTGCCAATCAGTCGATCTTCCCGTCCACATCTAAGACTCCGTCCCCCTCCCGCCCCCCCACCCCTCCTCCCCCGCCCGCCGCCACCAGCGGCGATCGCAGCCCACAGGCGGCATCTTCCGGCCCGTCGACACCCCCGCCCCCATCTCGGCTGACGGTGAGGCTGCTGCCAGACCTCATGGCCAACAGATGTCCCGTGTTTTCCATCGCAAGTGAGTCAGTTCGCAGACCGACAGGAAATGCATCGACTGAATCGACTGAATATGGATTGATGTGTGTGTGTGCAGATTGCACGTTTCGCATCGAGAAGCAGAAAGAGGGGTCAGGCCGGGTGGTTGTCGGCCAGCAGCTCAACATACCTTGTAGCTACACTCTCGGTGAGCCGAGCCAGCTACCCAACCCACCGTCCTTCTTTCCTTCCGGATATCACGAGGGTCCACCTTTTGTCTGTCCTGCGCTGCAGAGGCTTCCTTGTATGGGAGTGTCCGTGACTGGGAAGGCCGTGAGACGTCTGACTCACTGCTACAGCACTTCTCTGTCGATGACCTGCAAAGAATCGGTACGCGCGGCCAGGGCAAACACAGAACGCACGCGGCGCGACACGCTCTCGTATCCTCTCCGCCGCCTTTGCACGCAAAGCAGGTTGTGACTTTGGCTACGCTCTGTATGACTTCATGATGCGCAGCAAAGGGGAAGGCCAGCAAAGTGGCGCCGTGACGCCACAGCCCCCCCAAATGGTCCGCACGCAGGACGCCACCAGACCTTCCGAGTCATCTAGCCCCAAAGAATCCAGCAACAGTGACAACGCCGCTGGGGCGGCAGGCCCGTCCGACAGCTCCTCGAGCGCTTCCCAAGGCCCGCCTTGCCCGTCTCTGGCCACAAGGCATGCTCATCCTTATTTCTTGTCGCCCGCCCCCACACAGCCGCACTGGAGGGCCGCGAATGGCGTATCGGCCCATCTGCTACTCGCGGCACGAGAGGACTCACGGCCAAGGAAGACCGCTCTCTCTCTGCTTCGCAGGGCCGGAACAGACGACCTCAACGGAGCCAGTGAGGCCAGGAAGCAGCCAGGGGTGTCGCCTGCCTTGGCGCGTGTGCTGGCTGCCAATGCGAAGATTGAAGACACTCGAAAGACGTCCCCGCGCGTAGGAATTGAGGACCGGCTGGCGCCCATTCGCAGCCTCGACGAGGTGTCCTCCGGTGACAGCCCCAAGCAGAGGAGCGGGTTGATGCAGCTGACACGACGCGCTGTCAACGAAGGGCCCGTGCCGCCAGACGGCTTCTCATTCGAGACACCCGTGAGGCCAAAGGAGAACCTTCGCCGTGGCAATGGGCTATCAGCCTCGCGGCCGAAGTGGACGTCCGTCAAGTCTGACGAGCTCCCATCTGCTACTGGTCTTTCGACCACCAGCGGCACCAAGCGGCCTCCGAGCAGTGGCGGTCCTCCCTATCGCTTCCGCCCTCGCCAGTTGGGTAAGCTCGCTGCAGGCCCTTCCATTCTGCTGGACCTGCAGCGAGACAAGAGCATGGCGAGTGACGACGACGTGCTGATGACGGGCGATCTGCTGGATTCCCCCCGCGGGCGGAAGCAGCACTCGAGCCTCCGGTGGGGCAGGCTCCAGATGAAGGCCGCCAAAAGGCAAGGAGGCGCTGCCGGCAGGAGGGAGGAAGGCGGCATCACTGCACAATACGGGGCTGACACGATGTCTTCACGGAGGAGACACCATTACGGCAGAGAAGAGTCGTCCCCGTCTTGCGGCTATCGGGGAGAGCAGCACGCGCAGAGAAGCTACTCGTTGAACGACCGGCGGAAGCGATCGACACAGGACGGCGGCGAAAGCTTTTCGCGCACCCTTGGGAGGAAGGGGAACTCTCTTGGCTTTGCCGGACAGGTCCTTATGCACGGCTGAGCTGATTGATCGCTGGATGAGATGCCTGGACAGCACAGGTCCCTCCCTGAGACAAGACGGTTTGCCTGCTTCTAGACCATGTACGTATTGATCGATCGATTAGGGCCGATGTGTGTACTGACAGCTGTAACATTAATTTTCGTCCCTCGTCCTTCTACATCGATCGATTCTTCGATGACTCAGCATGAACGGACCTTCTGTGCCTGCTTTCCCCGCACAATCCCCTGTCTGTACTCGGTCGTGTGGCTGAGAGACACGCTTGTCTCATCCACTGTCCTTGCCCTCGTCAAAAAGACTTCAGTGGGTGTTGTTGATAGTTGTGGGACGCGGTTGACGTGAAACCGCGTCCAATCCTCTGCACAATGTGACGCAGCTCGATGAACGAGCGATTCCACGTATGCCCCCACGTAGGCCTCGAAAGCACCCTCTCCCGTGTAAGAGGGCCTCGCATCGCCCTCAGCCACCGTCTCACTTCCCTGGTTCGCCGTGTAGAGCGGTCTCGGGGCGCTTTGTTGGTCTCGGGATGCCTGGGCAGGCGACGTCATGGAAGACCCGTTGTTGGTTTGTGTGTGTCTGTCCAGCGTGTCGGCCTCACGTCGGCTTGCACAGATGCTTCATGCACACCTCCAGCTGAACCGCTGACCACCAATGGGTTGACTGGAACCTGTGCCTCGGGCCCAGGTCGTGGCGGCAGCTGTTGTGTCTCGCTCCACTCGCTGGAGACAGAGACAGAGGGCTCAGGCGAGGGGCCGGCCTTGCGCGTCGTTGGACGCCCCACCGGTCCGCTGACGGCCTTAACTATCTGTCTCAGGCTGAGGGCAAGAGCAGCAGGCACCTCAGCCTCATGTGGTTCAGGGAGCGGGCGCAAGAAGCAGAGAGTCCCAGGGGCAGCGTGGACTACGGTACGCGGCGCCTCCTCGTAGAATGAGCCGTCTCTCAGGTCCTGGAAGGTCAGATTGAGCGGGATGTATGTGTTCATGGGGGGAAGTTTTGAGGCAGAAGGCCCCGTTTGGATCCTGGCATCAACACAACGCGATCGACACGGCCAGGGACTCCCACGTCTCTCTGATGTCTCATCAAGGAGTGAGAACACACTATATGCAATGATGGTAACGGCCATTAGTCCCCTAGCTGCGTCCTTCCGTCCGTCCATCCATCCGAGTCGCTAAATGGCCTCATGCACTCACTCCTCTCTTCACACATCCTTCACTAACACAAGCGCCTGTTACAATCCATCGATGCGGATGCGGCCGTCGCCAAAAAGTCCCTCCCACCACACGGAGGCAGGCAGCGCACACTCTCGTTTGCTCGCTCGCTCGCTCATTCACTCATAAAGCCCAGAGAGACAGAGAGACCGAGGCAGTCATTGATTGAGGTCAGCTGGGGAAGGGGAGACAAGAGAGGGAGGTAGCTTGTCAGCTTGTCATGGTTGGCATATATGCGTCGCATATGGACGCACATGGACCGACCAATCATTCCACACATGGAGGAAGGGATGGTCAATCGATGGATGGGATGCGTCGGACCGGTGGAGGCATCATGTATTGTATTTGTGTGGAAGTGGGGTGGACGGATGGACGGACGGGCTGACGCTACGCATGGATGAAGCGCCACACAAAAAATAAATAGCCCAGGGGTCACGTCACCAAAAAGTGTTCATATACTCTGTATATATATATAGTGGGGAGGGATGGATGGAAAAAACGATCAGACAGCCACCTGCCTCCCTCCCTCTCCCCCGTCTCTCGCACGAGCAAGCAAGCATGGGAGGGCGGGCCGCGTGTATGCATCAGGCAGCAGCCACCACCGAGGCGAGGCAGTGTCCAATCGCCCACCGAAACATGATCTGATCAATCAACCAATGGTGGTGATCCGAAATTACGCACAGCCAGGCAGACAGCTGACAGGCGTGCAGACGACATAAAACGCCCCAACATCAATCAAGAGGTCATCCGAATAAAGCAGCATCCCGTCCTCTAGGCATCCCGGACCCCTTCATGTGTCTGATTCACCCCCTGCCTCTCTGTGTGTCCAACCCTGACAGCGGCATGCAGCAGCCGGCCTGAGACGAGCTTCGCGCCTCCATGGAGGCTGCGGTGGATGCACACGTGTCAATGGGCTGAAGACCATGGGTGGGTGGGTGGATGGATGGATGGATGTCCACTGCACGGACACACGGTCCGCCGCTTAGTCTTTCAAAAGTAGATAGATATGCCACAAACAGCACAATCAATCAACACAAAGAGACAAGCGGGCAGACAGAGCCAACGAACAAAAACAAATCCCCCAGACAGACAAAAGAAAGCAGTACCCATCCCATCCCGCCAGCAAGAAAAGCCTTGCTCGTATACACGCCCATACGGATGTGCAGTGCACCCCTCCGTATGTATATCTATCATGATGCGCCGGGTGCGCCCATGAGCTTGGCGACCCTCTTCTGCAGCCGCCCCCTATAGGGTAGCTGGATCGGCGTCCTGTTCTCGGGGAAGTCGAAGTCGATCGTGTCAATGTCCCAGTCACGACCAAACAGCAGCTTCGCGTCCCAATCCACACCTACACCACCCGGCGGCTCACCCACCCTGATGCGCACGTCGCCGTCATCGCCGGGGGACGAGATGACCGATGCGGCCTCCAGTATCGCATCTGCGTCGAGGTGCGCAAACCGTGAGTCCACTGCTGCAGCTGCGTCGCTGGTGGGGGGGTGGAGGTGGACAGGGAGAGGGAGGGGGAGGGGGAGGGGGGCTGCAGCTGCAGCAGCAGGTGCTGCTGGTGGCGCCGTGTTGAGAATGTGGCCGTCCCCGTTGTCACCTTGGGCATGTTGGTCTTGATCGTAGCCGTCTGCCGCTTGCGCATCCAAGTCTGGCTGTGCCGCCTCATCATGCCCTCCCGCTTCTGGTGGATCTGTCCCTGCTGTCCGCAATGCGCTGCTGTGTGGGTATGGCGAGTGGTGCAGCCACTCGGCCGTCGATGCCAGCGTGAATGTCATCAGGATCTCGGATAACGAACACATCGCGAGGCACACTGCATCGAGCACACACCACATTGAGGCGTTCGTTTGTCTGTGCAGCACGTGTGTGTGTGTATGTGTGTGTATGTGTGTGTGTGGCTGCTTACCAGCGACGAGGGTGAATATTGCGATTGCGATAGAGGTGGCGCCCTGGCGCGCCACGACACCATAGCAGAGGAAGCCCGTAAGGTAGGTGGCGACCAACGCCACCATTGCGATCGCCACCGAACGATTCCGAACCCAGGTTTCCTTACCCTGCCACACAACACAACGTGTGTGTCCGTGACTCGACTCCCACACTGACTGACTGACTGACTGACCATTCTGCACATTTCGGCCCTAAACTCCCAGCAAGTCCGCGGCCAGAGCCAGAAAAAGAACACAAACGGGTTAAAGCCCCCGTACACCAGCATCAACGTGGACCTGAACACACAGGCACACACAACACAACACAACACAACACAGCACAACACAGCACATGCAGCCATGCACGGACGCATGAAGGCCTGTCTCTGTGCGTGCTGCGATTACCAGTAAAACGGAAACGCATCCAACGGCTCAGAAAACTGACATACATACATCACACCCGCCCTCTTTCTCCATCTCATCTCCTCTCCCCGCCCCCTCTGTGTGTGTGGTCGGGTCGGTGCGTACCCTACCCTACCCGTGCACATTTGGACGCCTGTGGGTTGCGATTGGCGAAAGTGAAGCACACATGTGACGCGTACGCCACCAGCGCGCTGACGATGCCCAGCCCGAAAACCAGCCCGCTGGCCGGCCACAGCCACCCCATCGTCGCCAGCACGCCAAACACCAGCTGCAGCGTCGACGTCACCCACCTGCTGAGCGGACGACGCAGGAACCCACCACCGGCCACCGACGTGGTCGTCTTGTTGGTGTGCTTCCACGGCCTGTTGCCAAGTCGGTAGTGCAGGCGGGCCCAGCGGATGAGCGTGAAGGCGAGCAGCAGGATGTTGGCTGCAGCCATGCCTGTCAGGATGATCAGCAGGACCATCGTCCACACGTCATGGTGGGGCGAAAATAACCTGAGGATCGATGAGCGTAACCATACACAAGCAGGCGCAGAGAACGGGATTCACCGTCTGTCTGTCTGTTTGGTTTGCGGGCGGATTGGGTGTTGGCTGGCTACCTTGCGAGCAGTAGGACGAATGGTACGATGATGTTGGTGGCCATTCGTGTGGTGAAGGTGAAGCAGCACAGCTCCAGCGTCACGAACAGCGCCTTCATCTCCATGATGCGATAGTAACGAACACGACGGCCCCACTCTACACACACACAATACACAGCACACAGCACACAACACACACACACAGGTGAGTGACCCAAGGTAGGCAGGCAGGCAGGGAGGCCAGGTGTGTGGAGCTGAGCTCAGGTCGGCGGCTGACCCTTGACGATGTGGTGCCACTTGACGGGCATCTTTTCGTCCCCGTCGAGCTGGTGCAGGAACCGGTTGAAGTCCATGCTGCACTGCGACAGGCTCAGCACGTCCCGTGACGTCAGATGCTGCAGCAACACCAGACCCACACCCTCCATCCGACACAGCTGCGTCAGCGGCTGAGACCCGCTGCTGCCGCCGCTCCCCTCGTCCCGCATCATGTCGGCAAATGAGGTACTACTGCGCATCACAATGGACGAGGGGACATCAGTGGAGGGACAGCTGGAGGCGGTCCGTCTCAGCCCGACCCAGCGCCACCACGAGCGGGTGTTCCTCTTCATCGCCCCGACGCATTGGTTGGCCTGCCGGTCCAGCCACAGCTCCTTACCGATGATTTCGGGAGGGGGAGAAGACGCGTCCTCAGACGATGCATACTCATTCTTTCTAGCAGAACACCGGGGCACCCCGAAGAGCTTCATGTCTGTAGCCCGATGCACACATACAATCTTGCCGTTCTCTGCGTCCCAGATCCAGATCCGCACTGCGAGCTTGAAACACTCGAGTCTACGCTGGACAAGGGGAGTGGCGGCAGCAGCGGCTCAGCCCTTCCTACTCGCTTACCCCTCTTAATCCTCAGGCGCCTCGGCGCCTCTTGAGCGGATGAGGATCTAGTGGTCATGTTCCGTCCCTCCTCTGACCCGCAGAGCATGCCGCCCTTCCCACCCGACAGCCGCATCTCTGGCCAGCCACACTCGGAGCTACAGGACGGAGGCGACAGGGGGAGGGCAGCCGCACCACCTCCCGACCCGTGGCTGCTGGGCGACTTCGAGAGGAGGGCGTCGAGCGCGTCTGGAGTGCCGGGCCTGGGAGGTGACATGAGGCCATCGCAGCTGGGGCTCGTGACGGCTGGCGAGTCGAACTCGTCGCCTATGGGGTCGGCATCGCACCACGAGCGCCTAACGCTCGTCAAGCAGAGGCTCATGAGCATTCTCGACGTGCCTGTCGGTAAGCCGCCCTTGATTGAGTCTTCCTTCACACGTCTACTTGTCAGTCACTGAGGTGTGTGCGTATCGTTCGTATGGCTGACCATGTCATGTGTGCCTTGCATTGCAGCAGCAGTCAAAGGTATACCTATCGGCAACCTGAAGCGGCTCCATCGTGAGATCTACAAGGAGGAGCTGGACGAGAAGATGCTGGGCTACGAAAAGTTTAGTTCGTTCCTCGAAGACGTGTCGGACATACTCGTGGTGAGTCAGTGAGTGAGCCGCGGCGCCTTCGTCACTCACTCAGTGAGTGAGTGAGCCGCGGCGCCTTCGTCACTCATTCACTCACTCATTGACAGGCGGGAACGCTGATGGAAGGTGGCTGTGGTGTCTGCGGGTGTCATCAGGTTGTGCGTGACGATGAGCGGGGCAACATCAGGGTCTTTCCCAAGCCCAGCCAGATACCCACAATCAGCTCCGAGACAAGAGGTGCGTGAGGCGACAGACAGACAGGACAAGGCCGGCGCGCCACACGCCGGATTGCTTTGTATGTATGTATGTGTTGTTACGTTACTTACAGGAGGCAGATTGTCGTGGAATGAGCTGAAGAAGGCGATAGTCCGTTTGATCCACGAGCACGCCGACCCAACTACAGGCCTGCTCTGCTCCCAGCTCAAGCCGCTCATCAGTACGCAGAGCGGCCGAACGCACTCAATCGTTCCCTCCCTCCCTCCCGTGTGTTGTGTTCCTTCCGCAGAGACCCATGTCGACCCCTTCTTCCACGAGCGCTCATTTGGTTTCCGTCGCTTCAGCCAGCTGATACGGTCGATCGATGAGATCGACGTGGTGTGGGGAGCCAGTGAGGATGTGCGGGTGCGGCCTCTGAGGCCTGGCTTCCCTTCGCACCGGCTGCCCCAAGAGCGATCCGACCACTCGCCATACGAGGCGTCAATGGCGTCGGTGAGCGACTCACCCCCCTACCTCGCGTCGCTGCCGTCCTCCCAGTCGCCCCCTCGCAAGGACAACCTGACTGGCCAGGCGGAGTCGATGAATCGATCGACCTGTTGCAGCTCGTCCGAGATCTCCCGTGCAGCCTCGGCGGGGGCGCTGTGTCCGCCGCCGGTGCAGGAGGGCGGCGAGCCGACATCTTATCAGCTGGAGAGGATGAGCCACAGAGGGGCGCTGACCAGGTCGGCCTACTCGATGGACGTCCAGAGTTGTCGCTCGGAGGACAAGACGGCGAGGAGTCACCCACTGGCACAGATCCACCAGGCACACTCAGTGCCTTCGTCTCTGCATTCGGGTGCGAATCCCTCGCCGTCGTCTTCTTTCATGAGCGCATCGTCGGCCCGGCCGCCACCCCTCCATCCCCATCGCGATGCCTCCCCGCCTTTTGTGCCACCACGGCAGCAGCAGATGGCGCAGGCGCCCTACCCCCCACCGCCCCCCAGGCACACGCCAAGCAGCGCCCTGCAGAACCAGCGGCACTTCAGCCCCTCGCCCCCTTCGTCGGCCAGATCGCACGGAGTGGGCAATGGCAACGGCAATGGGTACTATCAAACGCGATCGGGTGAGGGTCAAGTGTCGCCGCGGGAGGGAAAGCCACAGGTGCGGCCGGCGTCCGGACCACAGGACCATGGCGTGATGGACGTGCTGCAGGTAGGCATCCACACGCACCCATGAGATGAGCCACACGGACCCGTCACCACCGTCCATCCCTCCCTCCCTCCATTTCTCTCTGTCTGTCTGTCTGTCTGTCTGACGTGTGTGTGACATCACATGTGTGTGTTTCAGCGAGTGTGCAGCCGGTTGAGGCAGGTGGAAGAGCAGGTGTCCCGGCAGTGGGATTGCATCCAGGTGCTGCAGTCGGACAACCTTCGCTTGCAGCGGTGTCTGCAGGCGGCCATCGCCCACCCCCCTCCCCCCTCCCCTCCATCGCGCCCCCCGCCGCGTGCAGCACGGCCAACCGCCGCTCCCCCTCCTCCTGGCTACTCTGCCACCCAGGCTCCTCCAGCGGCCAGGGAAACCTCCGACGGCAACCTCGAGAGCCTGTTTGACTTCGACGAGACCTTTCACCTGAGGGGGCTTGGCTTGGACGGCAGCGCCGAGGAGACAGCAATTGCACACCAGGCGGCGGGACCGGAGCTGTCCGAAGGGTCGGCCGGTGATGTCGTCAGCACGATGGCGGCGTTGCCGCTGTCCCGTCAGCAGAGCGGCTTCGATTGATAGACGAGGGCGAGCCAAGACAGCTCGAGGGCGGCGACTGACTGGCTGGGTCGGTCTTTCTGGCGTGAGGCGGTTGGTTGATGGGGCGGACGGGAGACGGGTAGATTGGTTGATGGAGGTGGGTCGTGGCTGTCTGTGTGCTTCGTGACTCATTCATTGATCGACTGATTGGTCTGAATGGCTTCGTGGTGGTTCGTAGGGTGGTTCGTAGGGAGGAAATGAAAGGGAGGGAGTGGGTGAGCTTTGGGTGGGCAGGGCGGGGTGGGTGGGTGGGTGGGTGGCATTTGTGCGCTTTGAAGGAAGATCAGTGTGTGTGTGCCGTCTGTGTGTGTGTGTGTGTGCGTGTGTGTTCCGTTTGTGTGTGTGTTTGATATGTGTCTGTCTGTCTGGCCCGTTTCTGGTATGGTAATTAGCAATCAGCGGTCTATCTTTTTTCGTCGGGTGGCACGGCATGGCATGATGATGGATGCATCTATCCCCGCCTCGCCTCGCCTGACGTGCTCGGCTCGACTCTACCTGACTGACTGCCTGGTTGCTGGGCCGCGTCGCCCCTCACCAGACACGAGCCTTCATGATCGTTTGAGAGCTCGAATGTGGTGGGTGATGATCCGATCGGTGGCTGCGTGTCTGATGTCTGAGTGTCTGAGTGTCTCAGTAAGCCCATGAATGAAATGAATCGCATGATGGATGTGATTGATATGCTCCTCTCGGCTCTCTCCTGCCCACTAAGACAAATGACCTGGAGATGGGCTGGATGGAACCAGGAGGCCGCATACATACTCCCTGCCTGCCTGCCTACCCACCTACCTACCTACATGCTCGCATGCACGTGACGACCAACCGATGAATGAATGAATGAATGAATGAGGGAGGGAGGGAGGGAGGGATCGACGGTAGAGAACTATTTTTATCCGACAGGCGAGCGAGGGTGTTTGTGATGTGCTAGATGGAGCAGGGAGTGCGCACGGCGTCCAGTAGCTACTGCTGGCATTGGCGTGCATGGAGCTGGCTGGGATAGCGAGGGTGTGTTTTTCCATCCATCCATCCATCCGTCCGTCCGTCCGTCCATCCATGGGTGTACGTGACGTGTCTGTCTCAGCGTGCTGTGCTCATGTGCGTGTGTGTGCGTTTGTGCATGTGTGTGATTCTGTGTGGACGTGTGCGTGGTTGCGTGTTTTTCAGGTGGGTGGGGTATTTTTCGGGTAGGTGTGGGCCTGCATCGGTCTACTAACTCCTTCTCTGTCTGTCTTCCTGTCTCTCTTGTCTCTCTGTCTGTCTGTCTGTCTGTCTGGGTGCCAGGGGGCAGCTTTAAATGTTTTCCTGCCTGCCTGCCTGCCTGCTTCTTGCCTGTCTTGCTTCTTTTGTGTTTGTCTGTCCACCGGAGAAACAACACTGACTGAGTGAGGGCTCTGCCGTCTTCTAAGCTGTAGGACCTGCCTCCGGTGTGGTGGTGTGTGTGTGTGTGTGTGGTGATGTGTGTGGTTGGATGCCATGATGGTGGGTGCGGGGGAATCCGGCAATGGCGCAGCAAGCGATTGTGTACGGTACGAGTGTAAGCGAATAAGTCGGCGTAAGGCAACAAACAAGATGGGGCCCTTGTTGCAGCTTACGTAGCTACCGTCGACACAAGACGTATACACATACATCGTGATGGGAGGAATGGAATGGATGAATCCCATCCCTTGGTTGGTGGCCCGGTCCACACTCAGACAGACAGACAGACGCTTACTTGACTTGATGCATGTACGTCCGTACGTGTGGGAAAGCAACGAGTTAAGCGAGAGAGCCAAGCCAGTCCATCAGGCATTAGCCAAGACAATGAATGATATACAATGACACAATGACTCGTGCGTTGGTCATGCACAGATACGTACCTAATGCTCATTCATCGCCTCTCTCTCAAGAGTCCCAGTCAGTCAGTCACTCAGCTGCTGTCTGATTCCTCGGCAGCTTGCTTTCTCGAAATCACGTCGGCCACATCGAGCAGGTGCTCCTCAGTGAGAGTTCTCAGCACCTGCTCCCCTTTCGCGGCCATCATGGTCTCGATGTCCGACTCCTCGTCGGTAAACCACGCCAGGTGGTCCGCCACCAAATGCAAACTTTGACAGCCGTCGCAGCGGACAACCACAATGCCTGACGTGCACCAAAATGACAGAGCGCGATATATCTCGTCACGTGCGCAGGTGACGGACCCACCTTCATGATAGGCCTTCTTGGCGAATCGTTTGGCAGACCTCGTGTCGCATTTCTGCACACGCACCAGAGTACCAGGCATACAAGAGAGAGAGCTTACGTTTGCTTCATCTTACGTAGTACTGTACTTACCTTGCATGTGAACACAATCACATAGGCTGAAGCATCTCCGGCAGCGGTCCCTGGAACGTCAGGAAGTGATTGCACACTCGAAGATGCCTCACTCGCATCGGGCGCCGGCGCAGGAGAAGGCGCTGATCCGCCTGACTTGTCCACAAGCAGATGGCGAGATGTAGACAACAGCCGATGATTGATCACTGCTGCTGGCCTTCTGATCTGTACGGCAAGGCTCCTCAATGGCCTCACAGCCCTCATTTTATCCGCGCTTCCTGCGAGCTTTGGATCGCCACTACCGAAGTGATGAACCGATGCGTCCTCGCCCTCGTTTATCCGCTCGTCCTTCTCCTTTTCCTCTTCTTCAGACGGCACCATGCATCTTCACGCGGTGCATCTTTCATCAAGACGGCACCATGCATTGCGAGAGAGAGGGCACCCCGACTGGAGGAGGCTCCTCGTGCAGCACTGCAAGCCCCAGATACAGATGTGAGCTCTGTTTCATCGGCTCTGAAGGCACTCTATCAGCCGAAGGCCAAGAAACAGACGGTGGACTTCACTACTCTTCTGCTATCTTGTCGGGAACTCAATGCTTCGCTGGTGCCGTCGAGTGTGTCCAGCGCCTTTCAGCTCGACGACTCGAACCTGTTGCTTGGGCTCACAACTTTGAGCGGCACACGATGGCTGCATCTGTGTTGGGACGCTAAGGCTGCCCGCTTGGCCCTTGGGGAGAATCCGCCAAAGAAGGAGATATTGCCCTTTTCGTTCTCTCATAACATCCGGCTGGCTCTGAAGGGGCTCACACTGACTGCCATATCGCTGCCCCAGCCGTTCAATCGCATCGTCGAGATGACCTTTGCGCCCAGGCTAGGGCGAGATCCGTTCTTCAAGCTCTTTGTGGAGGTACAGGGCCCGCGCAGCAACGTGATCCTGGTGTCGGCCGACACGAACAGCATCGCTGCGTGCGCCTATCAAGTGGGGGCGTCACGATCGGTCCGGCCACTGCAGACGGGGCAGCTTTATCAGCTCCCGCCGGCACAGAGTGGGCGGCTGCCTTCGCTCGAGGAGACCTGGGATGTCTTTCATCGCAGGCTGTCGGTGGTCCCAGAGATGTCTTTGCAGAAGGCGTTCATCGATAGCTACAGGGGACTGAGCCCTGCCCTCATTATTGAGATGGCTCTGGTGGCTGGTTTGGATGCGCAAACGCCTATCAAGGACATCCCCGAGGCATCGCTCCGCTCGCTATATGAGGGGCCGTGGAAGCGATGGCTTCAGCTTGTGTTGAGTGACACCGAGAACCCTGCAAGTGTACAACCAGCTCTGCGAATAGGTGGAGAAGGACAGCGGCTCTCGTACGCGGTTCTTGGCTTACTTCCTGCCATCGATGCCGATGCAGCTGATACATCTGAGCCGTCTTGGGTGAAGGCAAAGAGCATGCAAGAGCTGCTGCGGATCTACTATGGCGAGCATGGGTCCAAGCGGTGGGACGATCTTAAGACGCGATGTGACCGGGCTGTGAAGTCTCGGCTGCAGAAGTCTGAGCAGCGTGTGCAGCTGTTCGAGAAGCAGCTGGCGTCCGCAGATGAGAGTGAGGTGGAGAGGCTGAGGAAACGAGGGGATCTGCTGATGGCTTACCAACATGAGTGGGCTGCGGGTGACTCCGAGCTGATATGTGAGGACTTCGAGACCCACGAGAGCGTCAGCATCCCGATCCCTCCGGACAAGACGCCCCTCGAGCTGGCGCAGGCAGCCTACAAGAGATCAGGTGTGTCTGCCTATCATCTCAACTACTGCATCACTCAGTGTCTCTCATCTTACTGTCAGGAAAGCTCCAACGGTCTATCGCAGCCGTGATGCCCCAGCTTGACAAGGCACGCGATGACCTGCAGTACCTGCAGAGCATCGAGACGGCCATTGAGGATCTCGCTCAATACAGGCGGGACTCAGACATCAAGCTGCTGCAGGAGATTGCTGAAGAGCTGGGCATTTACGGCAGTGAGACGAACGAGGCGCGGAAGAAGCCTGCCAAGGGGAAGCAGGCTAAAGGAGCGCGGAGAGGCAAGGGGAAGGCTGCAGCGGCAGGCAAGGTTCACAAGGCGTCGATGAAGGGGCTGCTGGTGATCGACTGTCCAAGAGAGGGAACTAACGATACGCCAGCAGTAGTCATCGCCGGTCGAAACAACAGACAGAACGATCGACTCACGTTTGACATCGCCCGCAATTCCGAGATGTGGCTGCACGCGCAAGGGCTGCCGGGATCCCATTGTATCTTGCGAGGGCCCTCGAGCGAAGCTGATGTGCAGTTTGCTGCGCACGTCGCGGCTTATCTGTCCAAGGGCAAGAACAGCGTGCAGGTGCCGGTGGTGTACACGCTGATACGTGACGTTAAGAGGGCTCCTGGTGGGCAGCTAGGACTTGTGACAGTGCGAAATGAGAAGGTGGTATGGGGCCGGCCAGAGGAGGGCAGGCAGGTGGTGGAACGGGCTATGCGTGAGGGGGCAGATCATTGATTGACTGACATACGCTCACTTGGATAAAAACGGTTTCGCGATTTGACCCTGTTGCTTTTCCCTTCTCTCCCTTCCCCCAAGCAACCAACCAACCAACCCCGCGCGATGGAGATGCTGTATCAGCATGAATCGGTTCTTGTCCTTGCTGCAGCTCTGTCTGTTGCCGTCACGAGCATCGTTTCAATCAGAAGAGTCCGCGCGTGCATCGGACGGTATGGCACGAGTCGGCTGCACACCCTGATGCCGTGTGCGTGCGTATATACAGGTCGTTGTGGTACGTGATCCCCAATGGACTGAGAAATCTTGGCGTCACCAACTCCGCAAGCATTCTGGTCCTCTCGGCGGTCTTACAAGAGCCTGTCATGAAGGCGGGAGAAGCTATGGCGACGCGGTTTCTGCGTATTGGCGGTGCGGAAGAGGCAGCGGGGGGCATGTCTGGACTTAAAGTTGAGTATGGGTTCGTCACTTTGTATGGGGAGTTTCTGTGACTGACTTGCCAGTGTGTGTGGTCTCCTTTGGTGGTCTCGTGTGCCGCTTGTCAAGCACACGCGTGTGCGCCTTTTTGTTCTGCTGCCGGTTGGTTGACCTTTGTCGTCTCCTGTATTTGGTTGAATGGACGGACGGGCAACGGATGTAGTCAGTGGTAGGGACAAAATTGGCGTCACCAACGGACGCGCATACACGTACACACATGCACTGGCAACGCAAGTGTGGCGTCAAAGAAAGAAAGAAAGAAAGAAAGAAAGTCTGGCTGAGCTCGTGCACATTCATCTCTTCAGGCACATAAGCTATCTGTACATGTCATGAATGCAGACATTCATCCATCCATCACAAGCCACAAGATGATGAGAGTCCTACGATTTGAAGACTCATGCGTGTACCGGTCGGTCATCGGTCACCCATCCGGTCCATCCACCCACGCATCTATGCCATGACGCATTCATTATTCAAATCGCATCTGAAGCGTCGGCCAAAAGCGGTGCGAAGCCCTCGCACATGGTTCAAAAAACTGTGGCGCGTCGCGTCGCCCACCCCCCAGAGTCGAGTTGCCTCAGGGGCGCACTGCGGCCACTGCAGCAGCTGCGATTGATTGATTGATTCATACGGTGGTGAGGACGCCGACCTGGGCCCCGTTAATCATGCTGGTCTCCATCTTCTCCCGCAGGGCCAGGACGCTCTCGCGCTGGTCCTCAGGGATGGAGTCTGAGGAGAGATCAAAAAGGCCCCCGGTTGGTGTGCGCGCGGCTTGTCGTGTGTGTGTTGTCTCTTACCGATATCGACAGTCAGCGGGTCGAGCAGAGGCGTGGGGACGGTGCCGTCCTCTGCGGGCTCCTCCCACACGTCGGGCACGAACGCGGGGCCAGACACATCCACAAACGCAGGCGGGTCATACTGACACACACACACACACACACATACACACACACATACATACACATGCAGGCACGCACACAGCGGTGTTCATTCATCGATCCATCCATTGATCCATAACCCATACATACGAGTTGACTGACTCACCTCTGCCATGAGCTTGATGTTCTCAAGGAACCTGTCAAAACAGGGTGCAGCGTAGGCGGTGAAGTCTGCAGCCTCCATGCGCTTCTGAAGCACCACAGCGCAGCACATGACAGACAACATAACATACATGATCTCTCAGTCCATCCGTCCGCCAATCGATGACCCCTGCCTGACCTCGAAATAGTCCCTCAGGTATCTGACGCCTGAAGAAAGCGCTGCGAAATCCATGCCAACCTCCTGAGTGCATAGCATAAATCAATCAATGTCAACCACGTCAGAACGAATGGATGGATCGCATCGATGGCCTGCACCACTGGCTCAGCCGTTCCTTCCTTCCGCTCATTCCTCTGCTTAGCTTACGTCATAGAGCTCGGTCATGTAGTCGAGCACCTCCCGCCGCATGCAGTGGACAATCCCCGCCGCAATGCCGTACTGCAGCACCCGCAGGAAGGTCCCCAGGTCCTCAGAAATCATCTGACCCACACCGCCGTCGTCCCGCGCGAGCCCATACGAGTCCACCACATGCTTCCTGGCCTCCTCGAGCGCAGCGTCCCTCTCGTCAAAGATGACCTGGGCCGCCTGCTCCCCCGGCAGCAGACCCTTGTTGGTCTCCAGCTCGAGGGGATACACATACCGCTGACTCGAGTCAGCGCCGCGCAACAGGTAGATGATGTTGCCAAAGCGCAGCTCTGCGTCGTCGAAGAGGCACTTCTGGCCTCGCAGGAAGCCCTTGAGTGCGGCGCCGTCGGGGCTGCTGTTGGCATTCATCCGCAGACCGTGGGATCTGGGGTGAGCGGATGCAGGCCGATAGAGCAGAGGCGGTGATGATGACCGGAGAGCGAAGGCTGACAGGGGAGAGGGCAGCAACGCCAGGGAGAGCAACAAGACAACCATGGAGGCAGCGAGAAACCGCCTTGCAGGGCAGATCTGAAGAGAGCTCATCTTCCCTGCACAAGCACAAGCTCCCGCCTGGCTCTTTGTCAGCTTCTTCCCTCCTGAATCTCGTCAAGTCTAAGCTCGCAAATGTGCAACAGCTCGCCCAAACAGCAAAATCTGTTTGCAGCATAAGATGACCCAACGCGAGGCCGTCAAGACAGCAAGAAGCAGCGGGCGTGAGTCAGGCAGACAGTAGAAAGATCCGGCGAGCTGCAGTAGAAGGGCAAGATGTCCACGAAGCGCGTGACGCTCGTGGTCGGAAACAGCACAAGGTGAGCCCAACGCCACAAGCCGTACACAAGGCTCAACGAAATCACGCGATGAATCTTGCTGTCTGGCGTGCTGTGCTGTGGTTGTGGTTGTGCCCCCTTCCAGTGTTGACTTCTATCGGCATCTGCACACGCTGCACCATGCCACGTGGACACTCATACCCGCTGAAAGGATTGGTAAGCCAGGCTGGGCGAACTGCACACACTGCTGGGTGGGTGCATCTGCCATGTGTTGTGTTGTGTTGTGTTGCCTTGCCTTGTGGTCAGCGGCAAAGCATTCGATGACCTGCAGCGCTGAGGGGACCGCACCCCTCTCTGCGCTGTCGGGAAAGGTAACTAGAGAGATATCAGCACAACCAGTGGCAGCCAGCACGAATGAGATAGATGGATTCCTATTGTTTATTATGTGGTGTGTTGATCGTACTGGCTGCAGCTTCAGTACTCGTGTGTGCTTCACGGCATTGAGTATGTGGTGGGGGTGTCCTTCGGCGTCCCCGTACTCGGAGATCGAAAGTCAGTCAGTCAAGCCATCGATAGGACACACATCGATATATTCCTTGTGGACCTTCCTGCGCCTTGGTGTGTGTGTGTGTGTGTTATAGGGAGAAGGCCTTTCTGGCGTCATCGCCGAACGTCAAGGAGGCCGGCCTGCCGCCCGCCGCGGTGCTCTTCATACTCAGTGCATACGCTGACAAGAGAGACCCCAGCAGGGTCAGTGAGGGGGGGCGGGCAGACGCCGGTGAAATGGCTCTCTGCATGGCTCTGCCTCTGTGCTGTCGTGCACGTTGTCATGTGCAGCACCACATCACGATTGCCGAAACACGGGAGGGATCTGAATACATAAAGAGTGAGCCAAGAAGCCAGTTGGTTGATCCGTCCGATGGATACGCACATTCATCGTGCCGCGTGTGTTGCCATCCATCCATCCAGAGCTGAGGGATGATAGCGTGACTATGGCCCGCCAGCCCGCCTACCGCATCAATCGCCCCGGCCGGAAGGACGCCGTGGTGTCGCATCCCTCCGACACGCAGAGGAGCAGCTTCGTCCCCAACATCAAGAACCACAACTGGAAGAAGCAGCTGCGGCGGGCGCACAGATCCATCATGATTCGCATCGTCAACCTCACCAGGTGGGGGGGTTGGTGTGCAGGCAGCTGAGCTGTAGACTGATGGGCTGTGTGTTGGTTATTATATATTATGTGCCTGCAGGAATGTGATGCGTTTGATGTATAAGGATGGGTCTGACTTGGATCGGAGGCCGCAAATGTTCCTCGAGGACGGCGTGTGGGTCGAGGTGGGTCAGCCGCCGCCAGGCAGACAGACAGCATTATTTGACGCGCAAGCACAGATCCTTGGTTGTGTGTGTGTTCAGTACCCCCGTGACGAGATATGTCCGATGGGCTGCAGCGAATTCGGTGGGTGGGCGGGCGATGGATGACAGGGATTAAGATTGCAGCCCGTCACTTGTGCGCTCTTTATGGCTTGATTGGTGTGATGCAGGTGCGCGCAGTCGTGGCTTTATGCAGGGGACGCAGGGCAAGGTCTACTACACCATGCCCGGACACCCTGGGTATGTCTGTCTGTCTGTATGTCACACACACACACATGAAGGCTCGATCGTCACACCGCACTGACAGTATGGATGGATGGATGGCTGCCAGTTGGATCATATTTTCCTGGGAGCAGCCGTACGTGGGTGTCTTCAAGAGCCAGGGGGGACACTCCACCAACAAATTCAGCGTCCAGACACACACTGGTAAGCAAGCCAAGTCAGGTGGCACCCCGGCGCACCGCAGCCAAGCCACGATGCGATGCCATGCACAGCACAGAGTGTGCGTGTGACCATCCATCGATGCACCCCATCGCCCTGCCTGCCTGCGTATGTATGTGTCAGATCGGTTCAACGAGTGTACGCTGCTCTTCCACGTACTCGACCCAATGAAACCGCCGCCCCTCCGGGTAATCTAATCACACACACATAGACAGACCACATCCACCCACCACCAGATGAATCGACCTCTTCGCCTCCCTCTCTCCCTCTCTCTCGCTGTGCTGTCTCAGATCATTTCTGCCAAGGCTGTTCACAGCCACAACGGCGAGCAGTACGACCGTCACCGCCGCGGTCCGCCCAAAGGGGACGACTGCACCACCCATGTGAGCGCGGCCGTCAAGTGCATCAAGGGCAGCACCAGGGCCTCCATGGAGAGCATGGCCATGGGCACCGACACGGATGACGGAAGCGGCGAGATGGTCCTCGAACTCACAAACCCCAGAAGCTTCTTCGGTAGGCAAGGAGGAAGCAGAGCAGACACACGACAGCCAGACACGGATCGCCGTTGTTTGTGCCTGCCTGTGTGTGTGTGTCAGCATCGCTCAACACGGGCCGCAAGTGGTACAACCCCGCGAGCTGGCTCTTCATCGAGTGGCAGATAGGGTGCGAGCGGTTCTCATCCATCTGGCCCTCGGAGGACCGCGTCCGCATCAAGCCGTCACTGGTGGGCGGGGGCGCCCTGGGCCGCCAGCAGGGGGAGGAGAACTGCGTCATCCTCGACGCAGAGGTCGTCCCCAACTGGCAGTGGTACCCAGAGAGACTACTGCTGCTCAATGGGCCGGGGGCGGCTGGGGGTGGGGGGCCGTCGACGGGCGGCAAGAAGGCCGGCGGCGAGAGGGGAGGCGGTCGTGGGGCGAGTAGGATGTTTAGCGGGAGTGCTGGGGGCCGGAGCGACCATGAGGGCGCGTCTCAGGAGCAGCTGCTGGAGGCCGTTGTGTCGTGTCTGCAGCTGCTGAGCGAGGGGCTGCAGCCTGTCGTCACACAACACATGAAGAACAAGTATGTCGTGAGTGGATGGATGGATGGATGGGCCACGCACACACCTGGCTGGCAGAGAGGGAGGACAGATGTGCTTCGTTGTGTTGCCTTTATCAGGTTTGGTGACGGCTGGCTGGCCAAATGCGGCCTGCCCAAGGGACATGTGTGGAGGGACTCCGCAAGTGCGTGAGCTGATTGACAGCATCAACACACACGACACAGCACAGCAGACAGACGCACAAGCGGACGGATCCATCGTGGCGGTGTTTTTGATGGTGCTGTGTGTCAGATCCCAGCGGCCGTGTGGACGTGGAGGGACTGTTGAACATAATGGTGGGTAGTTCGTTCAACAGGAGAGGCAACCAAGAGCAGAGCAACCCCTCATCCGTCAGTCACCTACTAATCTGCCTGTCTGCCTGTCTGTCTGCCTGTCTGTCTGTCTGTCTGTGTGTGTGTGTCTGCACATGACTCACTCAGCATGCGTTTTGGTTTGACGTCTTTGAGAACATCATCAGGAACCCACAAGTCATCCACCAGCTGCAGGTACGACACGCCACGCCACGCCCCATCGACAGACGGCTCAATTGATGGATGCGATGAATCCATCGATGGTTTTCCTTCCTGTCAGGGTGTGGCGATATACTGGGCTACACAGGATCTCTCCAAGTTCGACGACTCGTACGGTAAGCCCGCAAGACATGCACACACACACATATACAGCTCAAGTAAGTGCACTGGCCCATCCGTCCGGGCCCTGCCTGGCTGCGTGCCGTGCCGTGCAGTGTTCCTGGCCCTGGAGACCGCGGCAGAGCTGCTCAGGGTACGCACGTTCGTTGGCCACGACACACCACAGTGTGGTGCGGTGCTATGTATGATCGATCTGATCGCATTCATTGCAAATGTGATGTGTGTTGGCTGGTCTGGTCTGCTGCCCTCCTGTCCTGTGTTGCCTCCCTGCCTGCCTGCCACTTTGCTTCCCTCAGGGCCTCAACCAGTACACGCACGCGTCATCCATCGACACGCTGTGCCACTCCCTGTTCGAGGCAGGGCCACCTGACTCGTTCGACAACGCATCCCCGTCCACACCCCACACCGCCACCGGCAACAACATCCCGCCCTCATCCCTCTCCTCCTCGCCCTCTTCATCCACCGTCGGCATCTCGGAGATGGACGCCTGTATCCCACAGGCGTCCTCCTCCTCGCCCCCCCACACACACTCCAGCCCCAATGTGGTGCCAAGACACGTCAAACGCTCCCCCAGTGGGAGTGGGGACGGCCCGATGCGGTCCGACGCGAGCGAGCCGGTGCTGCATCAGAGCAGCGGGACTCAGAGGCGGAGGTGGCAATCGACTGAGGTGGATGAGCCGGCGTCGTCGGCATCCGTCGGGGAGGAGGTGGAGATAGCGAATGTGGAGGGGGACATTCCCGGCCAGGCCCATGAAGTCGATGGCAGGAGGTCACCGTACGCCTTCGCGACCTTCCCATACGAACCAGGTTGGTGGGAGGGTCCTGGCTGGCAAGGCCCGCATCGATGTTCGATCATTTGTGTGTGGTTTCTGTCCTTCTCGTTGTGTGGTTCATTCAGTGATGCGACGAACGGTGCCGACGAGCCATGAGGAGGGGGATCAGACGAGGCCACCAGGGAGGTAGCCAGGAGAGCGATGGGATGGGAAAGGGGCAAGGGCGGCGGGGGGAGGGGCAGGGAAGTCGTTTTGTTTTGATGGCGGGCGGTGTTTACTTGGATGTATGTTTTTTACTTGTGTGTTTTCTGGCCAGAGAATCCATCCCCTTTTTGCTCCGTCAGTGAGTGTGCGGTGGGCCCCGCTTCTTTGTGTGTGTGTGGCCTGGCAGGCAGGCAGGCGGCCATGCCTACACGCCTGCCTGCCTGCCGATCCACTCACTCACTCACTCACATGACTATCTATTTGTGTGACCGACTGACATTCATCTCATCCATCCTCTGTGTCTCTCTCTGTCCTTCGTCTCTGTCTGTATCACTCACTCGTGTGTGCACGTCTGTCTGTGTGTATTGTAATGACACTCGCCTCACCCACTATCTAACTTGTGCACACAAACACACGGCAGCAATGAACACACGGACACACATGTCTACACCACATTGCTCAATGTCTCATTGTCTAGAAAAGGCCCATCCCTCCCTCCCTCCCTCCCTGTCTTGGCCTCTCTCACAATGAGAACCCCTGTGGCGGGATGGATGTGTCCAGGAAGCAGATCATCTCCGCCAACACGCTCTTGGGCACCAGCACCCTCAACCTCTTCCACACAGAATCATTAAACAGCTCAAACGACCTCTGCACCAGCTTCTCCAGCCCCTGCTGCATCCGAACCTGACACAAACCAGCAGAGAGAGACGTGACGTGCCATTCTCGATGCCCGCCCCGCACGATGGATGCGATCGATGCGACAGATAGCCTGTTAGTTAGCTACCTGCAGCTGTGTTCTCAGTGTCTCCTTGAAGATGGTCACGAGCAGCTGGAGCAGCAGCTGTGAGAGGGCGGAGGTGCACGTGAGCTGCACCTCCACACTGGGGCGGTCGATCGTCAGTGACCGCAGACGGAGACCCTGTTCAACAGAGAACGACACGAACGCTGTGGCGGACACGTCGCTCACCTACATCACATCCAGCCAGCCAATGGCACCACACCACACCACACCCTGTCTGTCTGTCTGTCTGTCTGTCGGCACACGTGCGGTGCGAGTGAGCTCCGTGCACACAACACACATACCTGCACGACTGACGCCCCCTGCTCCTGCAGCGGCAACTTGACGAAGGAGGCCACCCAGTTGTGCCGCAGACTGCCACCCACCTTCACGCAGCTCACGCGGCAGTAACAGCTGCGGCTGCTGCTGGCCTTGTTCTCATCAGCCGGTGCTGCTGGTGGACCGTCCGATGCAGTCTGCCCCTCTCGACTCGCTGGCCCATCGCGGGGCCCACTTGAAGGTAGGGAAGGCTCCTCGCTGGGCTGGGTGCGTGTTTCCGGTCTGTTTGGCTGCGGCTGACGTGCGGCGAGCGCTGATGCAGCTGCTGGTGGGTGCTCGTACCACGCCTTTCCCACCGACTGCACACGCACCTGGCAGTCTTTGGTGGTGAAACTCGTCACACGCAGGTCACTCAGACGATACCTGACAGATGAATGAATGACGCAACGCAACACGGAGAACCAATCATGCATGCCATGGACAAACAAGTATATATGAGCCCTTGAGTTTGCTGACTCAGGTACCTGAGCTGGTCGGTCTCGCCGTCTATGGGCGGCATCCGCATTTCCTCGAGCTTCCTTCGAGCGATCCGCAGGAGCGTCGACTCATCCCCCTCACCATCTGCTGCATCCCCTTCGCCGACCGGCGCGCTGAGAGTGCGGCTGATGGCGCCACTCTCCTGCCGCCTCACGATCGGGCTGGCGATGTAGCCGTTCATCCCCGGGCTCGCTGTGTCTGTGTGTGTGTGGCTGTCGCTCTCTGATTGAGGCGGCTTGGATGAGATCGACAGCGTGAGGGCCTCCAGGATCCTCCGGAGGCAGACGACGGCCAGCTGCGCCACATCACGCTTGGCCGCCACATCGTCCTTGACTGGCGACGACACCTGTCCGTCCGAGTCTGAAGAGACGGACAGAGGCAAAGACGTCCATGTCGATGGATGGATGGATGGACCTAAGCGTTGCTTGAGCTGACTGACCCGACCCACCTGGCGCAAAGGGGTCGGGCGGCAGGGGGTGGAATGGTGGTCCATGGCTGCTCCACGCGTCCCTCACGTAGCACCGCAGCACGTCCCGCACACAGCGCAGGAAGCATATTGCCAGCGACGGACTCTCACACACGTAAGAGTGGGGGCCGTCGGTCTCGAACGCGAAGTCGACAGGGCCATTGGACGGGGAGGGTGTGTGCTGCAGCACCGGGGGGTGGCCGGCGAAGGCGAGAGTGGAGAATAGACGGAGATAGTCCGATAAGGAAATGAAGACAGGTCCGGCGGGGGGCGAAGCGCATGACGTCGGGGCGGACATGCTCGAGGTGAAAGCCGGCCCACGCAGTGAATGGTATATCTGAGGGAAGAAGACAGCACACACAAATGAGTCGAGTCAGTCTCTTGTGCCACTGACTATCCCGAGCCCGCCAGGCCAGGGTACTGTACCTGGAAGTGGGCGTAGCAGTGGCACATTGAAGCAAACGCAATTTGGAAGAACGGCGGCGCACTCCCACTCGACAGTAGCAGATGACTCCCGGGCGGCGGAGGGCCGCTCATCCCACGATCACTCGCACAGTCATCTTCGCGGAATATCGACGACACGAGATGGGCCAGCAGCCAACACACGTCATACCCGCACTCGCCCCACGCCTCCGCGAGCGCATGAGTGACCAGCACCTCAGTGGACGCGCTGCAATCCGCATCCTGCTGCCGAAGGTTGAGCAGTGCAATGAAGCGGCACGCAAAGGCCATGAATGCGTTGCTGAAGACGAAGGCCAGGCCGAGCTGAACGACGGGTGAGGGGTCATTGCTCATGGCCATTCCCTCCTCCCGCGGCACCACGGTATCCCGATCTCGATCAGCGTCACGCGCCAACTCGGCAAAGAACGACTGAAACAGCACTCGAGCCTGGAGCAACACACCACAAGATATATGCACAAAGCGGCCGTCCGTAAGGCACACGCAGGCAGTGTGCTGGTTGGGCTGGTCGACCAGGTAGAGAGCTTCCGCAGCCATGACGACCGAGACTTCTGGCGGGTCGGGAAGCGAGGGGCAGGGCGAAGTCGCATCCACAGGTGTCCACAGAGTTTGGACGAGCAGCCGCTGCAGCAGGGGCAGGGGGGCTGGGGGATTGACCAGCGCCACACCGAGAGGCGTCCGGATGTAGTCAACCGCCGAACGGAAGAATGACAACAGCAGCTGACAAGAGGACAGCCAGACGACAGAGAAGTGTCGACCACCAAAATCTATCCTTCATGCCGACCTTTCTGTCACCGTCTTGTTGCCTGCCTACCTTCCATTCGGCGTGCGAGAGGGCTGCGAGCGGTGGGAGGGCTCGCCTACCGACTGGCCATGCCAGTGCACCATACACATGGCCAGTCAGCCACTTCCAGAACCTGCCCCGCTCAGGCTCCCTGCCCGCTGCAACAGGACTCTCAGCCGACGCCCACAGGCCACTCGATGACCTGAGCGGAGCATCATCCGGCGGCGGCCGAGTCAAAGATTGGGGCGGAGGGGCATCCGAGTGCCGACTCATCGGCAGCCGCCGGCGCCGCCTTCCAGCAGATGAGCCGTTTGTCGTTTGTCTGTGTGTGTGTCTGTTTCGTTTCCGTCGCTGGGCCGATGACGGGAGAATGGGCGTGAGGCTGTCCCATAGCTTGTCGATCGACACATCGGGCTGCACCAAAGGCGGACGAGAGGGATGCCTGAAAAAAGGCCCACAACACAACACACGGTTCACTCACGTCTGTCCTGTCTGCCTCATTGCCTGTGCTCATTCAGCTCACCGGGTGGTGATATTTCCGTCACACAGCGGCCCATATATATTCAGCGTGGGCAGCTGCTGCTCCATGCTGACATCCAATCGCACCACACACGGCCCTCCATCCTTGGCGCTGTTCTGCACTGCAGTTGGCAGCCAGGCCGGCCCATCGATGGCCTCCTGGGGCGACGAGATCTGTATCTGCGTCAGCAGATGCGGCAGACGTCGGACGGCGCTCTTGGGTGGGGAAGAGGTGGAGCTCGTCGACGGAGATAAAATCTGCTCCGTCATGACGTGCTGCGGCCTTCTAAACAGCCTCCGCTCTCATTTTGTTCGGTTCTCCAAAGAGGGCATTTCTTTTGCGAGCTAAGCTCGCGATCCTCGAAACAAAACGCAGCATGGCTTGGTAAGTAAGCAAGACACGACACGCTTGGCACACGCAGACAGGTGACTATCAGCCAGAGATCAGTTTGAAAGACAGGCTGCTTCGAGGGGATCTGCCAGTGTGTGTGGTTTCAACGCGGTGGGTGTTGTGTTGTGGTGTGGTGTGGTGTGATGTTGCAGGTGACTGTCGTGCCTTCTGTCGGCACCTGACTGTGTACGTCCGTCCGTTTGAATCGCCTTGGAGCGAGCTGCCTCCCTCCCTCAGCGTCTGTCTGCCAAGATGCCTGACAGTCTGATCCCCAAGAAGAACCGGAAGGTCATCTACGAGTACCTCTTCAGAGGTGAAGAAAGGAGGGGAGGGTGAAGGGAAGTAGGTCGACAATCGGGGGTTGGCTGGTTGTGTATGTCTGTGTGTCTGTGTGTGTGTGTGTGTCGTGGTTGGCTGGTTCGGTGCAGAGGGTGTGGTGGTGGTCAAGAAGGACCCGAAGCAGTCGGAGCATCCTGACATCGCCGGCGTGCCCAACCTGCACGTCATGATGGCACTCAGGTCACTCAAGTCGAGGGCTTACGTCGACGAAAAGTTCAACTGGTCAGCCACACACACACACAGCACCTCTCCCCCTCCCCCTCCCCCGCTCACTCACTCAGGGATGCTCACCTGTTCGTTCGTTCCGGTTGTGTCTGTCGTGGGGTGCGCAGGCTTCACCACTACTATTATTTGACCAACGAGGGCATCGAGTACCTCCGCGACTACTTGCATCTGCCCGCCAGCATCTTCCCCAACACCCTCACCAAGCAGCGACCCTCACGACCCGCCGGAGCCGGTCGAGGCGAAATGGGCGGCCCGCGCGACAAGGGAGACTTTGAACGGGGACCTTACGTAAGCAAGCCACCAGACAACACCAGACGAGTAATAGTGAGATGGGTCTGTTTGTGTGCCGTGTGTGTGTATCAGGGTGGCGATCGCCCTCGTGGATTTGGACGCGGGCGCGGCGGGCCACGATTCGACTCGTGAACGCCCCTCATCAACACGGCACTCCCTACCGCTTCTCACTGTTGATGAGGGGCGGGAAGGAAGGAGTGTTGGGTGTGGTGTGAGCGATGCGGTGGTCAGCGCGGCGACTGTGGGGATCGTTGCGTGCGTGAGCTTGTGCGGGTGATGCATCCATGATTTTGACTTGTATGTGGAGTGGCGTGTGGTGATGTGACGCAATCCAATCCAATCATTGTAAGTGCCGTGTTTGATGAAGAAGGCCCACATATATACAACACACGGTGACGTCACTGATAGATAGGTTAAAGAGGGCGTGGCGTTTGTTCCGATCCATCCATCCATTAGCTCACGCAGCACACGCACACACATGTGGGGTGGGAGGTCATCGCCTGTTTGTTTCTGTCTGTACAGTCAATCAATCAGACACGGGACAGACCCAGGCCAACGGAAAGAGCAAGCAAAGCAAGGCGGGGAAGGCAGCCCAGCCCACCACACACGATATGAGGCACTCACTCCACCCCACTCCATTCATTATTCATTCAACACCACACACACCCAACGGCTGCACGAGTGAAAAAATACACACACCGCAGGTCGTGTGTGTCCTTGCCCGTCTCTCCCCTCCCGCCCCGCCTGTCTACACCCCCACCCCCACCCCCCCTGCAGTATCCGCTGGCTAGTCCGAGTCGTCCCTGCGTCGCCGCTTCTTGGACCTGTGCTTGTCCTTGCTCCGCGACTTCTTGTGCTTCTTCCTCTTCTTGCGCTTCTCTCGCTTGCGCTTCCGGCGGCGACGCTCTGATGGTGGGTAGACACACACACAGCAACACACACGTTGACACCGGATATCGCCTCCTCTCGTGAGTGTGTGTGTGTGTTGTGTGATGTGGCTTACCCTCCTCGCTGTCCGATGAGGAAGAGGACGAGCTGCCGGACTCACTGCGGACGTCATCCTGCGCGCAACAGACAACAACAACACACAGGCACACAGGCACATGAGTTCAGCACACACTGGTGCATCGGTTGGTCATCAATCGGCTCTCTAAATCACCTCTTCCTCCTCGTCCTCGTCATCCGAGGCCACCCTCTCGGCGGGCTTGGCCGACTTCTTGGCCTTATCCTCCGCACCGCTCTGCTTCAACGCCACCAGGTTGCGGCACTGAAACGCCAAATGACCAACTGCACGCACAGAGACACGAGTGACACGACGACATACACGTGATGGAAAGGACGGCCATATCATCTGTGTGTAAGTGGCGTCTGTCTGCGTACGCTGTCCGCATTTGCGACATGCGCCAGGTGTGACGCTGCTGGAGTTGCCGGTGAGTCGAGCGAGGGCGAAGAGGCCCTTGGCCTTCTCATTGATGGCGGCCTGGTCCTCCACCTCCTTCTTCTGGTCGTCCGGCGCATACGGGTCGTGACCCATACGTTGCTGAAAACACACACACACACACGGAGGCCAACACGTACGTCACTTGGGTGTCCTCTTGCGCCCTCTGCGTGCCTCTCCTCACCCAAATTTCCGATGTCTTCAGCGAATCTGACACGCTAAGCCTGAAGACAACAAAACACCGATACGACACAGACGTTCAGCAAGTGGCGGACGAAAGAGGTGCATGGCGGACGACGTCCAGGAGTGTGTGTGCCCGTTTGGTCATGTACCTGTTGTTGGCAGGCATCTTCACCCTTCCAGCAGTGGCCGGCATGATGAAAGGAAACCTTGCTTCAGACTGTGTCTATTCGTCCAGAAAGCTGCGATTGGTTTGAGGCCTTTTCTGCGTTCTGACTCTTCACTCTCTCGTGCGAGCTAAGGGTCGCTTAACCCTTCACGTGAAACCAGATTCAAATCTGCCAGCGACGCACACGAAGAGGACTACAGAACCCGGCAACATTCTGAAGCTCGTCAGCAGGGAAAAAACTGCAGCATGAAGTTCGCGTTCGCTCTCATCGCCCTCTTTGCTGCTGTCGCGCTTGCGGAGCAGCTCCCGGGAGGGAGGCGGCCGTCGTATGCGTTCCTCACAGCGCCTGTTGGTGGCATGAGGAGCCCGATATCACTTCGATCACGCGCAGCCGCCGGTCTGCAGCCCTCGCGCCAACCGGCGGCATCTGTCTTGTGGATGGCTGACAAGGAGCAGGTGGCCACCGAGATGGACGCAGCCAAGCAGGCAGAGCTCGACGAGAAGGCGGCGAAGCGGGCGCAGCTGCTGGCTGAGGAGGAGGCCTACATCAAGCGATTCCAGGAGGGCGGCGCCTTCGTCGATGTCGATGGCAGAGACAAGTAAGCTCTCACACACACTCACGGCTCATTTCTCAAATCGTTTGCCCCGGATGCATCAATGGCTGTGTGTGGCTTGCTGCGCCCAGCATTTTGGCCGTGGAGCCCTCTCGTAAGAAGTCTACGCAGAAGGGGCTGACAGCCGAGCGGGGCATCGCCATCGGTCTGGGCGTCGTGGCGCTCGCGGTTGCTGCCTTCTCCATCATCAACGCGCCTAACGTCGAGTACTGAGCCAACGGCCTAGCGAGAGGGGGAGGGAGGGCCGACTGACTGACTAACTAACTCGGTGGCTGTGGTGCGTGTGGCTGCCTGTGTGCGGTAGTGACACTCTTTCTGTCGCTCACTCGCAGCAGCCTGTGTCCGCTTTTCCTTGATGTGTCCTGTACAGAGGGGGGTGGGGTTGTGTCGTCTGCTTGCTTGTCTTGCCGTCGGTTGGTTCGGTGTGTGTGTGGCCTGCCTGGCCACAGTTGGTTGAGTTGCTTTGGTCTGCGAATGCAGTCAGCCAACCAACCGATGGATGGGAGGGACATTTTGATTGATGGGAGGACAAGGAAGGGTGGACAATCAATGAGTGTGTGTACATGCCATCCATGCTGCCCTGGCATGGTGGAGATCGATGGATGCCTGCATGGATTCCTGCCTGTGAGTGAGAGAGGGGAGGGCACACTGACTGACTGACTGACGGCATGATTTTTCCTCTCATGCGCTGAACGAACACAGCCCTTTAGCTCAAACGACCGGTTTTGCATATCAAGGAGCGTTCGCATCCATCCATCTGGCTCAAGTCAGTCACGAAAGACCACACGGCACACACACACACACATCCACACACGGGTTCTGGTTTGTACATGGCGACAGACAAATAGCACAGCTCTCTCTCTGCAACCGATCGAGCCGCTCTCGAGTGAAAAAGGTAACACCTTACCAGGCGAGCTTTATCCATAAAACGACACTCCTCCTTCCTCTCCTTGCCCTCCGTCCGTTCCCCCACGTGTGTCACATAGCGCACTCATCTTGCTGCCTTGGCAAGGCTCGGCTCTTCCGTCTTCCTGCGGCTCCTCCGGCCCGCCCTCATGTCGCGTATGATCTGACCAGCTATAAGCTTCCGCCTCGCCTTGAGGGCCGACCCTACACCCAGGCCCAGCGCACCGCCCGTGGCTGCGCCAGCAACGGCACCTATCGGGCCGAAAGCCACGCCGCCCACAATGCCGCCCACCACCGATGCAGCGGATGACAGGTGAAGCGACTTGAGCTTCGTTTTGCGATGCGATGCGTGCGCCAGCTCGACGGCGGCCTCTGCGGTGCGAAAATGGGAGCTCTGAAGGCCCATATCGGTGTGGTCGAGGGCTGACTGGGAGGCGTCCACCTCTTTGGCAATCTGTTGCTGAAGCTCAAACAGATTGGCCAGGCACTGTTCAATCTCCCGCAACTCCTAGAGGAAGAAGCGAAGAGAGAGGCCATCGAATACACACACCAATACGACACACAGGGAAGGAGGATGGAATGTTTATGGAACGGGGAGTCACCTGTGTCTTTTCCTGCTGCAGTTCTTCCTCCAGGTCTTGCTGCAGCGCCATGGCCTCCACTTGAGACAGGTCCACCACTTGCGAAATGAGCAGACCGCTGTCGTCGACCTCATCCTCATCACCCACACTCACAGACCGACCAACACCCGCACCACCCACCAGTTGCCCGCCATCGTCCGCTGCCATTGGTGCCCTCTCCTCTCCAGGAGCCCCGCTCTCCCTCTTTTTGGCATTGTCAGCCGCCTCCAGCAGTGCCCAGTGTGTGGAGCAGAACTCCTGGTGCTTCGACTGAAGCCGCTGGAAGTCATGTCTGAGCTTGTTGACGTACGTGGCTGCCCTCCGACTCGTCTGCGCTGAATCGGTGGCCGCCGACTGGACGAACGACTGTGTCGTCGAGGAGGAAGTGACGGATGCGAAGAACTCCCAAAGGCCCTTCTCCAGCTCGTTGCACCGGCCCATAAGGCTGGCGAAGTCCAGGAGCGGCGCATCGGCGGCGTCGGCATCCCCGCAGCGGGGACTCCTGTACTGGATGCGCAGCGCCGGCGCTTGCCTCTCCACCACTAGCAGCAGCTGTCCGAATTCCCTTAGAAGCGAAGCGGCCATATGTGGCTCGTCCATGTCAACCACGTCAGAAGCCGTCACGTTCTCGCTCGAGGCGGGAGGAGAGGTGACGTCAGAGGAGGTGGGGGGAGAGGGGGAAGGGTGGGGCTCCTGCTCGCTCGTGCTGGCATCATCTGATGAGCTGGGCGGGGCGACGGCTGTGTCCATGGTGTGGCGGGTCGTCAGGTCGGACAGGCTGACAGGCAGCGATAGCCGCATTGGAGCGATAAAGGACGACCAGCTGCCTCCACCTTTCCGTGGCTGCTGCTGCTGCTGCTGCGATTGAACCGACACATCTTCTCCCTCATCGCTCTTCGCTGCTCCCTTTTGCCGATGTCGTGTGGACGGGAGCCACGGAAACGCCCAAGAGGACTTCTCCTTCTTGGTCGCAGGCGCCACGCTCCCGTCTGTTGCATCAGGCTCTTGAGGAGCGGCTGAGGATGGCGAGAGGGGGGTCGGCTTCACCGCCGCCGTCCAGGGGAAGGGTCCAGCGGCAGGGTTGTCTTCTTGATCCAGCTTCCGCGTCACGAAGACCGGCCGATAGGTCGTCGTTGATGCGCTATCCTCGGCGCTCCGTTCCCTGGTGTGCGCGCGATACCTGACGCCATCTGTGGTCACCCATCCTTCGGCGTCCTTGAAGGCTCCATCTGGCTCAGGAGAGAGATCCACCTGAAAGAGGCGCTTCTGCCGCTCCCAGGTGCGGACGTCAAAGGTTGACGCGTCGTCGGTCTCAATGGTTGATGGCCGCCATTCGTTGTCGCTGTCGAGGAGCTGTGTTTCTCTCACTGTGACCTTCTCCATTTGCACTTTTCCTGCGTTCTCCGGCGTCTTCTTCAGCCAAGCTCGCAGATGGGGCAAGAGCAAAATTCTGTGAAACTGCTTCGCCGGGAAGAGCCAAAAGTGTCAGGAACGCAAACCACACTAGATCTGAGCTTGCGCCACGCTAATCATGAGTCGTGCTGGTCAGCCCTCCGAGAATCTGGTGAGGCGGAACAGTCACGAGCTGCGGCGCATTCACTCATTCCTTCATTCACTCATTGATTGTGTCTGTCCGCCCACCTGCACGCACAGGATGGGAGTCCAGCGGTGCCATTCGACCAGCACGTTCGCCTGCTGGCCGATTACATCGAGGAGTACCTCGACGATGAGACGCTCAACGAGGGAGACCAGCCTGCAGGCTTTGAGGTGACCACCACAGCGACAGAACCAATGCGTTTCAGGCGTGCTCCGTGTGTGTGTGCATCAGGTGGAGGGGCGTTTGGGTGTGATTCGCGACAACTATGACGAGCGCCTGAAGCTGCCCATCGAGTCAGAAGTGCTCCTCAAACCGCCGGTGAGGCGATCAGGCCGGACTGGAGTGAAGGGTGCTGATGCGCTGACCAGGTCTGCTGATCTGTGCCTGTCTGTCTTGCTTTATCTGTCCGTGTCGGCAGGATGACGACGAATTCTCATACCGGTTTGATCCTGGCGTGTCAGAGGTAGGTATGCCAGTGCGCATGGAACGGAATCCACCATTCATTTCAGGTGGCACCTGTTGCCTGCCTGCCTGCTGTGTTTCAGAAACAGTTTCAGGACATCATGGCTCGCCTGAAGGACATGCTCGATCTCAGCGCTGCCAAGACCGACAGCTCAGCCCCGACCCCCTCCCAGCCCACGCCGCCCAAGCGTGGCCGCCATCGGGTGGTGAGTGCCAAGCAGGAGATCACCGACGACGAGTACCACCGAAGCCCGAGGCACCCGAATGAGGCTGTGCGTGTGACCTACCCCCACCCAAAGCCCGCCAACGCCAAACCCAAAGAATTCACCAGGTGCGTGTGTGTGGGCAGTGAGGGAGGCAGGGGTGCGGGGACGGTGGATCGTCACCATGATGTGTTTCGGTTCGGTGCCGGTGCCATCTCATTCATGTCAGGAAGCAGAATCTTGTGACGCTTAATTTCTGGACGGGCCGGGACGAGTCGGATGCGCCGGGGACTGACGAGGAGCCGCGCCATCTGATAGACTTCAGAATCGCCATCAACCTCGAACACAGGGGTCAGTCAGCCCACAGCCAGGCGAGAGAGACCATCTATGGCACACAGGGCAGACAGTGACGATCCGTGTGTTTGGTGTGGTGTGGTGTGTACTGCAGAGATCGTGTGTCCGAGTCCTGCCACCCTGACGTTCGCAAGAACACGAAATCGACAGTCTTACATGTGAGTGCTCGAGCCGGAGACCAAAGGACAGCTGCCCCCACGCCCATGTGGCTTCATCCATCCGACCGGCTGTGTGTCTGTGTGTATCTATCTCAGTTTGCAGGACTGGAGGATCGATTCGACTGTCGTGCAATCGGGCAAACCGGTGAGGAAGGTGGAAGGAAGCAGTTAATATTGACGAGCTCCTTTTACACCTGTGGGCCCACGATGGATGTGTGTGTGTATGTGCAATGCAATGCGTCAGCGGGCTGACATGCAGGGACGGACCTATGAGCTTGAGGTGGAACTCAACGAGTGAGTGAGCGACACAACTTACAGTAATGGGCAGAGGGGGGTCAATCGCGTCGGTTCCTCCGTCCGTCGGCCCTTTTGCAGGGACTCGTTGCGCGAGCAGGTGACAAGGAAGAAGCAGGGAAAGGAACACAGACTATATCACGTACTCCAAGGTACACACACATGGACACACTCACATACACATACACACGTAGGCCTGCTTCCGCCTCTGTGTGTTGGCCTGACAGAGTTCTTCGGCGTGCTCCGCGATTGGTCGTCGTTCCTGAACCTTCACTCTGCCCCCATCAGTGTGGCCGACACGGCACTCGCCATGCCGCACGCACAGGAGGGTGCACAAGACGGAGTCAAAAGTGAGAGCCGATGCCGCAGAACCGTGCAAGCCTGGGATGGGTGGCCATATGCTGTGTTGTGTCTGAATGCTTCTTGGTCAGTTGCCGACCTTCGCGACTGCGCCCCACCGCAGAAGGTGCGCTGAACACGAGCTGGCTGGGAGGGAAAGGCAAATGTGTTGATGCTCCCTCTGTCTGTCTGTCTGTGTGTGTGTGTGATATGAAGAATGTGGAGATGTATTTGGCCACGATAGGTCCCGTGATGCCGCTCATCGGCGACTACCTCTTCACCGCAGTGGCGCCTGCACTGATGGAGGCAGACAGAGACAAGGAGAAAGAGACGCAGATGCAGACAGACGGTGCGGAATCAGACAAGGGAGATCAGGCGATGAATGGGCAACAACAGGGCAGGTGATCTGAATGATCAGTCGTGGGGGCGTATGTGTTAGGTGTCGCATGTCTGTAGGATCTCACACATGTCATGAATGGACGGCAGATGTATGGTCACATGTATATCATGCAGTGTCTCAATACATACCAATCGATGGCACCAACCTTACTGACTGACAAATAGACGACACACACATTGCATTGCACATGGATAAGATGAGCAAAATCAGCCATTCTCACCATCTATCCAACAGGGACACGCAGCAAAGCGGTACGATTCACGATGGACGGAATACACAATGCATAGACGTCACATCGTCCCGGAATAGACAATGCATCGACTGGATCTCCGAAAAAACAGATAGGTCTAACAGATTGGACAAGGACACAGACAGGTCTGGTGTGGTCTCATTCATGCTCATCGACAGTGGGCGGGAGCCTCAGCTCCTTCTGCGATAGGCTGTACCCCGAGAGGGACTGGCGGGTGGAGGTAAGCAGCGCGGAGCTCCTCCTGGCCTGGCCGGCCTTGCTGTTGGGCTGCTGGCCGCCCATGATCCAGTTGATTATGCGCTCTTGGTCGATGATGGAGCTATGGCGCTTCGAACGGGTGGCCTTGTCCAGCTCCTGGAACACCTGCACTCGCTTGTGCGAATCAATGCCTGCACCACGGACGGGAGACACATGTGCATGCCAGCCAGCGTGTTGGGTTGGTCGGCCATATGTGTGTGCCGTGCCACACCTACCGCCTTTGTCTGACTGGTAAGAAGTTTCCTGCAGTTGTTTCCGCATGAGTCTGAGCCTCTGGATGGATATCTCGGCCATCACATGCTCAACCTCCGGATAGTGACGCAGAATCTACATGACACAAACACAAACAACACAGCGAGAGAGACAGTCGGCTGGGTAAGTAAGGTAAGCAGTGCTCACGAATTGGAAGTCTTCTCTTTTGGCGGCGAAGAGGACAGTGGGCTCAGCCGCCACGGCAGCGAACGGCTGGCCTGTCAACTGTCAAATGCACGCACAGCACAGCACAGGGGACACCAGAGACCTTGCGCTTGTGTGTGTGTGTCTCTTTGTCTTCGTCTCTCTGTGTGTGTGGCAGGCACGTCAAGGAAGAGTCCCTCATCTCCGAAGATGGATCCGGCTGATAGGAGCAGCGATACCGCCTGGTCGCTTTCGAGCCAATCGAAGGAACCGATGTCTCGCCACAGCACACCTCGCCTGACAGACAGTTGGTTGACACAACACACAGATACTGAACTGACTGGATCACGTCACGGAGGAATGCACTAACTGCACCCACAGGCTGGGTGACTTGACTGACCTCGATAGTGATTTGCAGTCTTGGTCCACCAAAGGGATCAGCAGCTGAACGACACCTGCATCAACTCAACGCATGGTCCGCACATATCAGTCAATGTGTGTGTATGTCTCCGTGTCAAGCAGTGCTGCGTGGCTGGACTGGATGTCGGGCACCCACCAGAGCTGATCAAGTAGATGTATTGTGATATCTCATGTTGGTGGTGGATGACGTCACCGGGCAAGAACACAGTGCGCTCCAACACGGGCACCAGACTCGTCACGAACCCTGGGTCGGCTCGCTTCAGCACGGGAGACACCTGCAGCCAGCCATGCCACCCACGCTGCATACACTACTTCCCGTGCGTATGGTATGCGACAACGCACCCACCTCACCTCAATGAGGGGTGCGCATATGTGCAGCTTGACCCTTTTACAGAGTGCAGGCGAGAGGTTGCGGAGTATTCTATCCTCACTCTGGGACAGAACGTTCTTCTCGTAAAAGTACTCCAGCACTTGCTGCACACCCAATACACCCGCCAAACAGACAGACAAGCAAGCACACAAATGCAGCTCAGCTCTCCTGCTGTCTGTCTGTGCGTGTCTCTGGTATCTGTTTCTTGCTTCTGCAGGCACCTTCTGCAGGTCTTTCGGGACCTTCAAGTGCTTCATGTACTGCTTGAGATCCTCCAGCTTGGAATAGAACATGTGTGTGGTGTTGTCCATGTTGGTCAGCAGCGCCGCCACAGTACCTATCACCACGGCAAACAGCGAGGCACCTGAGACATATACCACACCCACAGAGACACCATTGCACCGCTTCACTTGACCGCTGTTCATGGTGCTCTGTATGTTAGCTTCCTCCCTGCCTGACCGACAGACCGATGAGCATGGAGGCAATGACCACCCACGCCTCGTCCACATTCCGAGGCGGACCCGTCTTCCCTACAAGCCAGCCAAAAACCGACACACACAGAGTAGAGTGCACATTACATTAACGGATGGAGAATGGAGAGATAAGTGCCTGCCTGCTGTGAGCGTCTGTCTCTTTGTTTGTGTACCAACCGTATCCGATGCAGAGCATGAGGCTGAGCGCCTTGAAGAGCGAGAAACTGTACAGCTCAGATGTGGGCCGGCAGAGGGGGTCCACGGGGTTGCCCACTTTCCTGCTGCAGTGCGAGGAGCCGTCTCGCTGCGCGGCTGTCACCGTCTCCCCCTGCATGATCCAGCTGTCATCCGGGAAGTCCGCCAGTCTTGTTTGGAAGAAGGCCAGGCAGGCGCTCCAGTGTGCGAACAGCATCAGCACAAACAGGTACTTGATGACTTGCAGCACCAGAGACGAGGCCAGCGTCGAGAAGCGCTGCAGCGACCGGGCCATTCTGGCGATGCGCATGAGCTTGGTCAGGCGAATGAGCTTGAGCATCCGGAAGGCCCGCGATGCCGAGTAGGTGTGGTAGATGCTGCTGCTCTCGTCTCCGCTGGCGGCCAGCGTGAGGATGGTGAAGATGACATCGAAGGGAAAGGACGCCACCAAGTCGATGGCGAAGTAGTTGCGCAGGTAATATCTCGACGTCTCCCGCACGGAGAGGATCAAGATACCATCCTGCTCAAAACCAGTCCTGCATTGGCCGACACACACACACACACAGAGATGGGCACGCGGACCTCAGATGTACTCTCGCAGATGGACAGCTCACATGAAGTTGAGAACGAGGTCGGTGCAGAAGCAAACATCGATGACGAGGAGGAAGATTTTAGCAATGGACAGTTCGGGCCACTCGGGATAGTAGAGGCCAGGCACGCCCCCGTGGCTCTCGAGGTCGTCCTCCCCCTGCAGGAAGCTGATTGAGAAGGGGGTGTAGAAGACAGACACGAGGGTCAGGACGATGATGACACAGTCCCACGTGACGCGGAACGTCGACGCGGGGTGGATGGCGTCCTCTATGCCATCCTCCCCCTCCGCCGTGGCCTCCTGAAGGGACACGCCCCACAAGCGGCGGGATATGCCTGCACAAACACACGCAGCCTCGTTCACGCTGTCACGCGTGCTGTCTCTCCTGATTGCGCCGTGAGTGTATGCACCTGATAGGGACCGGTCGTAGGAAGTCTTCGACTCGTGTCTGGCTTTGGCCATGTCGTCGTCCGCGTCGAAGCTGTCATCCTCCTCTTCCTTGCTCCCACTCGACGCTTCAGCACCTGAGAGGTCACGCTCAGGCTTCATCTTCTAGAGATAGCAAGGCGGGGAGGGAAGCTGGGAGGGAAGGGTGGGCTCCGAGACGTAAATTCAATTCAGGGGGCGGGGACTCCCAAGTGGGATGGGCAATCAGGAGAGCGTGACGGTCCCTCCTCCTCCCCTTGGCGAGGAGAGCATCGACAAGGAGCTGCGTCAGCACCATGGTGAGTCCTCATATCGAAGCGCGGCATCAAACTCCATGTGCTGCCTTGCAGTCCTCATATCGAAGCTGCAGCTGCTGCGCCTCGACACTTCCAGACTGGACCAAGAGGCCCGAGATGTGTGGAGATCTGCCAAGAAAGATAGGTACCACTTGGAACTCTCGGCCTCTCTGTTGATGATAGATCTGCCACAGGAACGAGAATCTGCCCATGGCAGAGCTCAAAAGCATCACCCAGACACTGACCAAAGTACGGTCCTGAGAAACGGCGCGCACAACCAAAGGGGGCGAGGTGTTTTGATGTGCTCTGCAGGCTTTCCGTGAGGTTCTTGTGTTTGGCGCCAGCACCGTCCAATGATCGGCCCCAGCAACCAAGCCCTGTGCGGTGTGGTGTGGTGTGGTGTGGGTGTGTGTGCGCAGGCTGCGAGTCGGCTTCGGAGCAGCAGGAGATATGGGAGGCCTTCGAAGAGACGAGCCCGTACTGCGACTACATCACCCTGCCCGAGCTCAAGGTAGGAAACATCATCAGAAGTGGATGGATGGATGGATGGACAGCATTTGTGTGTCTCCTTCTTCAGGAGTATCTGCATAGAGTGACCGTGCTCATCCTGCGGGCGCTGACCAGACGGGCAGATGAGCTGGTCGGTCCGCCAACAGACACACCCCACACACCTCACCTCTTCCTCCATTCTGTGCGATGCGATGTTATCTCTCCAGGAGCGGCAGCTGCATTCATCTATGCGACCGGATGAGCCCCTGCACTCCATGCCCTCTCCGGTAGCTTCGCCCGTCGAGAGCCCCTTCGGTCTGCCTCCCCCCTCCCAGCCCGCCGTCACACCCCCCAGCACCCAATGGAAGGAGTCACTCCTGTCCTATTCATCGCGGACCCTCGAGGAGCCACTAGACGGGTTCCTTTATGCAGGGCGGCTCATCGTCAGCACGGCGTCGGCCAAAGGGGTGGGTGGGTGAAGAGATTGCGGGCCTTGTTGTACTGTAATGTGGGTACTGTGCAATGCGGGCCATGAATGGCCTACATTGCATGGCATGGTTACTCATTTGAGGTGCAGGTTGGCGGGCACATGCCGCTGGTTGAGGTGCGTGTGACCGAGGGATACCCCAAGACACAGGGGCGGCACGATGGTGGCCCCACCACCACCACCACCGTACAGGTCCGTCCCCCCACGCACAGCACATGCATGCCGGCTGGGCTGGGCTGGGCTGGGCTGGATGTGTCCTGTCCACCTACCCCGTCTCGTTACGCAGGATTGCCTGGCCCAGACAACGTTGGGCGGCAGTCTGACGCTGGCCATCCCTAGAGCCCTGTCGAAAGCACAATTTGCCAACTACTGGATTCTCATATCAGTCAGTGCTTACCAGACTGAAAGAAAGCACTGCTCTTACCTGCACGCGACTCTGGTCCCCATTCGTCTTCAGGTGTTGGATCTCGATGTGGGCCGTAGGTTAGCCGTGTCGATGGGGGATGCGGTGCTTCCGCTGGGGACCGCCGTACAGAAGGGCATGGTCAGTCAGCGCTGCCATTGCACCGCTGCTGTGATCTCCGCTACAATTGTATGTGCGTATCTGTGTGGCGGGGTCAGGAGACACACGATGGCTTCGAGGAGGGGCGTGAGGAGTATGCACCTGAGACGCTGGCGGTGCCTGTGCAGCCAGCTCGTGGTCACGAGGGCCTCATTGCGGGGGCCAAGCTGGACCTGCACTTCGTGTATCAGCCAGCTGGTAAGCCCCGCCGGTGCAGCATCCATCCATCCATCCATCCACATATCTATCTGGTTTCTTTCTGTGTCCAGAGTCGGCTGTGAGTACCTCTGGGGGTGTTGGCGAGAGCGGCGAGAGGGTCGATGCGGCAGAGGTGAGTGCTTATCGACGTGAGCACTGTCAATGGCGGAGCGTTGGTCGTGCCTTCTGGTCACATCCAGGCTGGTGTAGTCAAGCCCCAAACTGACACCACCGAGGCAAACGGCAGAAGAACGGGTTGGTAGCTTGCTGCCACAGCGCCACACATAAAGCTTCCGTTGTCGGATGACATCAATCATCGCAGGCTCGTATCGCATCGTGGTGTCGGCGCTATCGGACTTCCCAATGTCTGAGGATCACGATGCCGACTACAAATACCTCATGGCCGTAGGACGCGGGCACCCACACATGCAGAAGGGCTCATTCGGGAACGTCTGTCTGTATGTGTGTCTGTCAGTCTGTGTCTCTGATGTGTGGGATGCCCCCCGGCTACGCCACCATCGGGTCGGCGGCGTATACCAATGTTCAGTGGAAGGCACCACTCGTCGAGTGGTACGTGCAGACTGAGTGACATAAATAAAAGTGTCGCTGTCGACCGCACGGCTCTCACGTCAAGTCATGTTACCAGGCCGGATGCGTTTGTGTTGCGGTACACCCAGCCGCCCCAACTTCTGTGGGTCAACGTAGAGGTGGGCTCACACACACACTGGTTATCTTGACGGACGGTGTTGGTGGATGTGGCGGCGCAGGTGTACGAGGCGACGAGTGGCGGCCTGTGGGGCGACAAGACCCACGCCCACAACCATGGGGAAAGCACGCCCATGCCCCCCCGGCCCATCGCACAGACGCTCATTCCCATCGCATACATTACCAAACACACGGTCGGGTCGGTAGGTCATCGGTGTGTCAGTCATGTCAGCAGCAAGTGCTGCGGCGTGGCGTGGCGCGGCGTGTGTGTGATTCTCTGGTCCGGCCGGTACATGTGGTGTGTATGGTGTGCAGGATAGCCAGACGTGCACGCTGCAGCTGAACCAGCACCCTGCCGCCCACCGCGACATCGACCTGTCAAAGACCACCTGCGACATACACATCAAGCCTACCACTGGTCGGGCGCCTGACAATAGAGCAAAACGACACACAGAGACGTGGCATCTCCTACTTGTCTGTCTCCCTGCAGACAATGGGGCTTCCCGTGTTGATGGAGTGGTAGCTGAGTCGTCGACGGCCGCCCGTGGGCCCAAACACGTTCTGATCATGGCACCGCCACCAGCAGTGCCGGCATCGGCCCCCACCGGCAGCAGCACCGACGGCCAACACACACAGAGTAGCCTGCAGCTGACCGGGTAGAATACACCGGGATGGAGGAATTTCAACGCACAGTCAGTCACATGGACGTCATTTCACCCGGCCGGCTGTGTGTATTGTCTGTCGTCAGTTCGTTTGGTAGTGGTAGCACGGTGCCTAGTGTGAGCCTGTTCCACGAGCTCACTGACGCCAGCACTCTGCAGGCAACCAAGAAGGCGCTCGAGGTACGCGCCAACCCATGCAGCTCTCCTCTCTAGCCTGCACACAAATGCTGTGCTGTGCTGTGCCGTGTTGTGCTGTGTTTTGTGTCTCGTAAGGTGGATGGCGTTCTGTGTCTGGTGTGCACCACCCACGAGACGGGCCCAGAGGAGAGGTACCTCTTCCTCACACACAAACACGATGCCGTCGTGCTGGTGCCGCCTGAGGAGCGGCTCACATGGTCAGTGAGTGGCGGGGATGGGATGGTGGGGTGGCTTGCTTGTGGATGGATGGATGGATGTATGTGATTTCTTCAGGCGTGGGGGTTGGCTGCCGTTTGTGGACAGGGGGACAGTGCGGCTGGACATCGACACCGACACACTCATACAAATACAGGTCGGTCGGTACGGAGGGAGGCACATACATACACACACACACACATCGTCAAGGTGTGTATCTCCGCCCCTGGCTGCGCTGCTTGTGTCCCGTCATTTAGTGGGGCGCCCACAGTGAGTTCCTGGCCAAGTGTCCGCCGACAGGCTGCCCCGCCCCCGACAGGTAGCCGGGCAAATCGATGCTTTTCAACTGTGTGTGTGTGTGTGTGTGGTGTTTGTGAGGGTGATGGTGCTCAAGTACGCGGGCGCCTTCTGCTGCGTGGCCTTCCAAGACAAAGAGACAGCATTAGCCGTAGCACAGGTAGGTACGGAGGGAGGGAGGGGTGGGGGGGCGGGGTGGGGGAGAGACATCTGGGTGCGGTCGGTGCATTTGCTTGTTTCTGTCGGTCGGTGCTTTGTTTGTTGGTTGCCATCCATCCATATAAATGTGATGTGTGTGTGTGTGCAGGTGACTGAGATGCTCCGCAAATGACCGGCTGACTGACTGACTGACTGACGCGGACGCGTAGCGCACTGCAGGCAGATCTGATCAATCTACGTGTGTGGGTACATGTGTTGGTTGACGTGACGTGACGGGTGTGTCCAGACTTGTCATCTTGCAATGCATTCATGTGATGTGATCGGTCAACGTGGTGTCTTGATTCAGTCAGAGATTGATTGATCGGCCAGCCAGCGGTCCGTCACACACCGCCCACCCCACCCCCCACACGCATCCAGACGCATCGCATCTTCATATACACGAACACCAACCATCCAAACACGCAGACACGAACCAACACCATGCAATCAATGCATATGTATATTCCATCAAGGCAGAAGCACCGAAAGGAAGAGTCTCTGTCTGTCTGTCTCCGGAAAAAGGCCGAAGGACGATTGGGTCATTCATCTGCGGACGGGCCGTGGGTATGTATGTATGTATGTACAAAATGACGATCGACGTGTACATCACATCACATCACATGACATCACATCACATCGATGATGCTGTAATTACATATCAGGGGGAGAGGGAGGGGGAGAGGGAGGGAGAGAGGGAGGGAGGGAGGGAGGGAGGAGCCCGTGCAGCAAGAACGAACGTGTCCTTATGATGGCATGGCCATCACGGACAATTACACACATACACAAATGGCGAGGATTCATTCGTCGGCCCAGCCACAGACCTGTGTGTGACTCCCGGCCCCCGGCTTCAAGCACAAATACACACAACGAGACAGACACCCTTTTCACGCACACGCACATCCGCACGGCAAAATGGTCAGAAAAAGCCTGCAGGCCACACAGGCACGAACCCTCACTGCCACCTTAATTAATTGTGTGCCGGCTCGCTGTCTGGCTGCTTGCTGGGCGGCTGTGTGTCACAGCCTCGGTGAATGAGTTCTCCCGGCCCACCCCCCGCCCAACACGCATACACACACGTAACATGCACATGCATCATGGGTAGCTGTACCACGCAGGTCGAGCGCTAAGCACAGCGCCATCGATTGCCTGCTTCAAGCAGGCAAAACGCGAAACCAACAAACTCTCTCCCCCCATGTGTGTGTGGGTGTGTGGGTGTAGTCAACACGTGTGCACTCATCGATAGCGGAGTCGCCTGCGGCGCCTCGGCCTCTCCCCGTCTCCATCTTGCTCTTGATCTCCATTGGTGTTCATGGTGTAGGCCACCGGTGGTTCCGGCTCGTCCGCCACATGATGGATCTGCACACACACACACAGAGAAAGACACACACACACGCAAAACAGAGCAACAGAGAGCAGAGCGTGAGGAAGAGATGGGAGGTGGGTGGAGTGAAATTTGTATGTATGGGATTGGAATGGAATGTGTGTTTGGCCAGAGAGAACCAACGGCTGTTCAGAGCACGAGTACACACATACAAGAGAATGGTGGGTCCAACAACCGTACGTATGTCACAAAACGCACATCCATCCCGCCCGTTGATTGACAAAACGACTCACTTTGTTTTTGCATCCCTTGCAATCCATGGACCCACGCCTACCTACACACAGCTAAATGCACGCGGGGAGTCAGTCAGCGACACAAAACCCCACGGGGGTGGATGCCCTTGCCCTTCACCGTGCAGAAAGGCTCCATCTAAGATGAGAGTGAGTATGGACATACGCACGCACAAGTACTTATGTATGCGGCTCTTGGAGCCGCTTGGGTGCACGGCACGGGATACACCAGACGGCCTCCCAACGGGAGAAGGGTTCTCTCCGCCACGCCAACACGCACACGTCTAATTCCCGTACACAACCATTCTTCATGGGAGCAACAACACAACCGGTCGGCTGGTTGGCCCATGAGTGAATGGTCCGACTAAAAACGCATTCGTATACAGGTAGGTAGGCCCTGTCTTTCTCTCCGTCCATTGATTGATAAACAATCTCTCTCTTGTCTGACTTTGTCACTCACTCCCCAACTCACTGTTATCATAAAGCAGCGCACGAGCCACGCATGAGGAGAGCAGCCACAACCCACGCACACAGAAACGACCACCCCAACGGACCGAGTGCCCCCCTACTGGCCCCTGATGGTACTGACGGGATGGACGGGATGTGGGTGTGGGCTGATGGGATGTGTGTGTCGCCTGTCTGAGGGAGTGTGCCTCTCTGCGCGCACTGGCTGCCGTCAACGCATCTCACCAGCAGGATTTCTCCGCTCTTGTCAGATGACATGTACAGCCGCCCCTACACACAACCACACCACACAATATCATGGCCAGTCCATCTGTGTGCGCATTGCGTTGGCTGCTTACGTGTTTGTCGAAGACGACATCGACAGGCCTCATGTCGGTGGGCCATTCGGCGCCCCGAGTGTCGGCCCCTTCCCTCCTGAAGAACTCCTTGATGTCGCCACGCGGCATCCCGTCCACACGCATCGGTATATGGATGATCTACACCCACACCACACCACAGCAATACAGCCCCCCGAAATGGTGGCCCTCTCCCTGGCTCTGTCTCACAGAGAATCCGACGGCCACAGGTCGGTTCCAGCTGCCGTGTAGAGCAACGAAGATGTCCCCATACATGGAGCACGGGAAGGCCGTCTGGTCCAGTGGGTACCTCAGACCGCCGTCAGCTGTCCCATCGCCATCGCCATCGCCAGTGGTGTTCCTGATGGTGCCTGTATCGCTGTAGACGGGGTTGGCGTAGTGGATGGAGCCGTCGAGCGCTGCGCAGGGGGTGGATGGGTACCGCTCGCCGAAGAACTCCAGGCCGAGTGGTGCTGTGTGCGCCTGCATGAGAAGACGGGGCCTCACGTTATTGCCGGGGTCGCGGCACCACTCGTCGGAATACTCATCCGAGAACGATGGATGCACCCTGCAATATATCGCATCCATGACATGACATGACAGGAGACATGTATGGGATCTGTTGTCAAGGGTGTAGTGTGCATGCGTGCTTTCGTGGGTTGCATTGCAATGGCCCAGCATACCATTGTGTGCCTTCGCCCCTTCCTGTGTCAAGGTTCCCTTCGGACCAGCACTGGGGGTATCCGTAGAAGCTGATCAGTCAGTCACATCACACAGGCAGACAGAAGCACCCTTGACGGACATATCATTCATTTCCACATGAGAGTGCGTGAGGGTATATCGGGTGTGCTGTGCTGTGCTGACCTTCCTGCCTTCTCCTCAGGAAAGTCATTCAGCTCCTCACCAGGATTGTCTGCCCACACACGCACAGCAGGCACCACGGACAGGCATCGCATCCATGGACTTCCCTGCCTCTCTCTCTCTCTCTCTCTCTCTCTAGCCCACCTTCATGTATGTCGCCTCCCAGGTCTTCCACGAACAGGTTGTCCATCCCATTGTTGACCCCCCACATCTTGCCATCCAAGTCCCACGCGATCCCCACCGTGTTCCGCAGCCCGTCGGCAAAGACATACCCATCCGCAAAGTCCATCCCTCCCTCTGGCTCAACGGTCTCCCGCATCATGTCCTCCGCACTAAACCGCCTTATGCGAGCTCTGTAGGAGGACCTGTCGAGGTTGCCGCGAGAGCCGATCGACACGTAGAGGGTGTTGTCGCGGTCGTCACACAGCAGAGTACGCGTGTGGTGTCCCCTCGGCGCCCCGCCCGAGCCGTCGGCGTTGACATTGGTGATGACGACCTGCCTCCGGTCGTCATCGAGAGGCTCGCGCTGGCCAGCAGTGTACGGCCACCTGTACACCTGCGGGACTCACAGCACAGCAGCGTGTTAGTCACTGCACTGCCGTCCTTTTGTCTGTCTCTTTGGCGTGTGGGTCAGTCACCTCACCTGGCTGTCACTGCTGGCAAACAGATAGTCGCCACACACAGCTATCCCTGCAGGTCAAGTGGGTAGACACAAGTGGACGGAAGGAACGCGCCGATACAGATGCACATACACCTCCCCCATTGGAAGCTTACCGTGTGACAGCGCCAAATCGCCAGCGAAGAGCTCAACTCGCTCTGTCACGTTATTCCGCTGCACAGACAGACAGACAGACAGGGCAGAGACACAATTCATTGCAAAACGTGTCGCCACACCGCATCCGATGTCCGCTCCTGACCGACCAAGTCGTTATCGTCGTCCCACATGGCGATGATCTTGCCACTCCGCCTCCCTGTGCGATCCACAACAAGTAAAGTTTCTCCACTCTTTGCAGACATATACAGACCACGCGGATCGCTGCACACACCAACACATTCACAAGAGATCCAGGCCAAGACCGATGCATGTCCAAGTGCCATGTGATGCCTACACGAGGTCAAAGTTAAACAGGCACGCCTCGAATCCTTTCGGCATCTCCGCCTCGGGATATTTCAGACACCCGCGAACCGCAAGGTCTTCGAGCGCAAAGCCGGAGCTGGGCGTCGACAGCTGCGATTGGACCCGGGCAACCAGCAAGGAGAACGCCACTAAACAGAGCCTCATAGGGGCGCCAAGAAACCCATGCGTCCATCTCACGAGAGCCCGACTATCCGTTGAGTGGGCACATGCATGGCGACGCCGGCAGCTGGACATGTGGGTTCCCTCCCCCCGCTTTGCTGCGTCCGGTGCGTCAGACTCCTGGCTTGGCACAGGCCGGCGAGATCTGGCAGCTGCAACGGTCGGATGTGGCAGATTCGCATGAGAGCTGTTACAGATGGGTGACACTGTGGTGGCGCTGCAAGGCATCGGTTGGGCTACAACACAGGTCAGACAAGGCAAAAGGACGCGAACGAGTGGGGAGCGCCGATCTTCCCACTCCTTGCGAGCTTAAGCCCGCAGAGGGGACTGGGGGAAGAAAGGAGAGGGGAAGGACAGGGGCGCTGGCGCTGAAGCAGGAGCAACAGCGGCCGTGGCTCCATCTGTGGAGGGACATTCTCAGGGTCGACCAGACAGGCAGCTTCAGGCAGAGGGGCCAACACCGCGGCTGCCCGGGCTGATCGCCGCACGGAGCGGAGGCGGCCATAGCCCCTTCTCAAGCGTCCGCGTCCGTCGCTGCTGAGTGGCGGAGGCCATCGCTGAGTGGAGGCACTGCCTGCTCGATCCCCAAGGCTCAACAAAGGGCAGCAGTGCTGCCCGGTCTGTTTTGATCAAGTGCGTCGCAGTTCGTGTGGTGTGACTGACGATGACGTATTATCACGAAGGCTGGTGGTCTTATGTGGTCGGCGTCGTCGGGCTGGTGGCGTGCTGGCTTCTTCTTATGCACATCAACGGCATTGAGAGATGTGTGCTCCACTTGGAATGTAAGCGGACGGAGATTCATCAGCCACTCACTCACCTCTACACATACATACTGTGTGTATGTTGTGTACGTGAGACACTCACATACATACTGATTGCTTTGCTTTGCTTCTCTGCCTGTGCTCTGTGTGTACACGTGTGGTGTGACTCAGGCGAGGAGTTTGTGTGGGAGAGGGTGTCGATGAGCAGCTTCGTCCTCACGATTGTCTGGTATCTGGCAATGCTCCCCTTCTTCGTCCACTCGTTCATCGGACTGCTCATCCCGCCGCAAGACGTCCTCGAGCGAATCACACAGACAAGCAGCGGCAGCAGGAGAAGCAGGCGGGCCACGAGTGAAGCAGCGCCGTCAGTCAGCGTCAAGCAGACTTCCCTCGAGGCCTGCCGCCCGTTCCCCTCGTCGATTGACGACATTGCTTCGCGTGAGGCGTTGACTCCTTCATTCACGACCCCCACGACGAGCACAGGGAGTACCAACAGCAGCGGCAACGAGCAGGACAACGACCACGACCACGAAACGGGCAGCGGCCGCGGCAGCCTCTGTCTTTCATCCTCATCCAATGCGTCGTCACCGCCCTCTCCATCGTGCAGCGCCAGCAGGGACAACGACACCACTTCCTTCCTGTCGTCATCCAGCTCCGCGTCGCTCAACTCGTCCACTTGGTCACCCGACCCGCTGCGAGCGCACTTCTCGCTCAATCGAGAAGCAGGAGGGAGCAAGAAAGCGGCGGCCAAGATGACGCATCGACGGCCACTCCACCAGCAGCGGGGCGAGGCGAGGCCGCAGATAAGGATGTCGACGCTCCAGCGAATGGCATCCATTGCTCACGGCGTGGCGCTCTGTGTCCAGTACGGTCTGATGAGCTGCATCCACCTGCCCCTGCTGTGTCTGTCGTGTCTGCTCGACTGCCTCGTGGCGCCCATCAGCGTCAAGGACCACCCCCCCAGCACCCTCAAGTCGATGCTGTCCAACGGCATGCGGCTCATCGACCCGGCACCTCTCATCCCCTCCATCACCGCGGCATTCCTCCGCACGACAAAGGCGCCCAAGGACAAGGCTTCCCCTTCACACAGGAAGGCGCCCCTTACTGCTGCAGCGCGCCACGAACTGGAGGTCAACAGCGACGTAGATAGCGACCAGGTCAATGACGAGAGCGACGGGGCGTGGATGCGTGCCCACCACGTCTGTGCAAGTGGTTTTGACGACGACACGAGCGGTGACGAGCCAGACATGCATGACGGGCGGGAGAGCGACCAGCACGGCAAGGTGATCTTCCGCGTGGTGACGCGGGGCGACAAGCCCGCGCTGGTGGCGAGTGTGTGCGAGAGGAACATCGCCGTGCTCGACGAGACGCTCCAGAACGATGCCGGCGGCTTCTCGTGGCGGTTTGAAGTGGTCACCGACCGGCCCATCGGCGTCAAGCAGCACTTCATCGATCGGGAGCAGCGCACCACGCCCGACGACCACAGAGGCCCCACTCCCTCAGCCGCCGTGTCTCTTGGCCACCACAACCAGCAGCAGTACAAGGCGAGAAGGGCAGCCAGGCGACTGCCCTCGAGCAGCAGGATCGACGAAATAGTCGTCCCTGACAGCTACGTGACCGCCAAGGGCACCAAATTCAAGGCACGGGCCCTCAACTACGCCAACGAGAAGTGGGTGCACGCAGAGAGAGACGGCAAGAGCGGCAACAGCAAGGGGAGGCTGCCGTACGCTCTGAGAGACAACGACCTGATCGTCCACCTGGACGAGGAGACCCTCCTCCACGCGTCGTCCGTCCGCGGCATTGCGGACTTCCTGCAGGGCGCCTGGAACCGCATTGGGATGGGCACGGTGGTGTACGGCCACGGGCGTGTGGTCAACCCCCTGACCACCATGAGCGACAGCATCAGAGTGTGCGAGGACATCTGCAAGAACAGAATATACTTCAACTTCTCCAAACCCATCCTCGGCATGAAGGGTACGTGCACATCCGACACGCATGCACCCAAGGACAGAATAGCATAGCATATCCGTGCGTTGTGTCTCTGTTGGCAGGCTCCTTCATCGTCATGCCTGTGTGGGTGGAGCGGCTTGTCGGCTGGGACTTGGGGCCGCATGGATCGATCGCGGAAGACGCGGCATTCGCCCTCAAGGCCATCGACATGGGCGGCAGACACGACACCCAAGAGAGCACAGCCAGGCAGACAAAGAAGGCCAACAGCCACCGCGCCTCGCGGCCTCACCCGCAGCAGTCCATCAAATTCGGCTTCGTCAAGGTGAGAAAGGAAACTGGGGCACAGTGGACGTCCGTTCACCGGCTCATCTTGTTGTTCTGATGTGTCGTGTAGGGTGTGATGCACGAGCAGAGCCCTTTTGATTTGCTCGACTACATGAAGCAGAGGCGTCGGTGGTTCCTGGGACTGTGGCTGGTCGTCAGACACCCCGACATCAGATGGAGGACCAAACTACGTAAGATGCCTCCTCCCTTGCCACGTCGGCACATCGCACCGGGCGGCTCATACCTGTGTGTGTGTGTGTATGTGTGTGTGTGTGTGTGTGTGTGTGCAGCTTTATTGTACATGCAGTGCGTGTGGGCGTTGGTGCCTTTATGGACGTTGCTGGGCCTGGTGCCGTCCGTCATCCCCCCCGTACCCCGCACATTCATCCTGGCACTGTTCCAGACACTCACCAGCGTAAGCACTCAGAGAGCACACACATATTGACTGACATCAAACACACGCCGGTTGCTTGGCTCTTCAGGGCACCTGGTACTGGTGTTTCGTGTACGGGTCCGTGCTCAACTTCACATGGGGGCGGTCACCAGGTGCCACAGGTGGCGTGCGGCGCTGGCTGGACTGGCTCGTCAACTACGTGGCGCCAATCGTCGGCACGGCCGTACTCATCCCCCTCTTCGGCATATTTGAAAGCGCATGTGAGCTGACAAACAGACACACACACTCGGCATTCGTATTGCATAAGACACTTGTGGTGTTTCCTGCTCCTGCGTGTGTGTGTGTGTTCAGCGATCATCTACTCGTACGTGAATCCGCGCAAGGGATTGGGTTTCGATGTCGTCAAGAAGGATCTCAAAGAGACCAACAGCAAGGCGGAGACGCACACACCAGACCCAACAGTGCTCACGCCCATCCCACAGAAACAAGACGATGCGCATCCTGCACCCCCCCACCTGGCCCCCGGCAAGAGCGCGAGAAGCACCGCCCGGGCCTCGCAATGTGAAGACACATGCTCGCCCGCCCCTACCGATGGAGCTCCTTCACGGTCACCCGTCAAGAAATCTGACGAGAGACCGAGACCAGAGGGGGCGGAGGGGAGGCTGCCAGCGGGCGGTGTGGTGTGGGGGCAGAGGTGTGGTGCGGGAGGGGAGAGGGGGAGGGGGCCTTCATGAGATGTCGTGTCTGTCGTGAGGCGAGGCTTTTGTTCATGTGTGTGTCTGTGCGTGTATGGCGTGCCTCTGTGGCTTGTATATGTGGGTGCATTTCTGTGATTGGTCGTTGGGTGGGCGGGTGTAGGTGTGGTGTAGACACATGTGGTGTGGCCCTGAGAGCGGGTCAGTGCTGCTGGCACTTAATTTCTATCTTGAAGGCGAATGACATGACGGACGCGGCCTCGTCTGTCCGCTTCTCACTTACATAGTTGCCTATGCTACACACACACACACACACATGGATGGATGGATGGATGGTGTGAGGGATGCGCGGCGCCTTTGCTGGACTGGTCTCTCTCTCTCTCTCTCTCGGTCGTTTTTATTTTTTCATCGCTCTGCCCAGCGGCCTGCCTGCTACAGTTTTAGCCTCCCCCTCTTTTCCCTCGCCATACACACACGCGCTGCTCACCGATACACCCACCGTGCTTGCTGTCTCTTCTTACTGACTGACTACTCACGGATGGGTGGATGGATGGATGGACGGGTCAATTTTGGTCATGAAGCCAGCCGAGCTGGCCCGGCAGCGCGGCACAAGGAGAGAGGCGGGTTTCGATTGCTGCCCGTCCGCCGTCCATCCGCCCCGCGGCATCTGGTTCTCTTTGTGTGAAGTGTCCCCAACCCTCCGTCCGTCCCCTTTTCTTGTCCTACCTACCACTGCCTGACTTCCCTACTCACTCACCCTCCCTCTCTCTGTCTCTCTCGTCGTTTGGCTGCATTGTCTGCTGGATGAGTAGATGATCAACGAATCCTCCCGAGCGAGACGCGTGCGGGACCAATGAAACTGCCTGATCTGACCTACTGACATGACAGAAGGACGGGCGGCGGGCGGGCGGGAATGAGTGGATCGGATCATGCCTGCCGATAACCAAGTGATGCGACTGATGTGCTGCAGTTGCTGCGTGTAAGTGCTTTCTTGCTGCTGCTGCTGCTGCTGCTGAATTATTGGCGGCAAGGATGTGTGGATGTGCGTGTGTGTCTGTGTGGGTGTGAGTGCTCTTCGTGTGGCGGCGTGGATGGATGGATGGATGCGTGGAGGAGGGGGCGCATGGCATGGCAGGGCAGGGCAGGGCAGGCAGGATGGACACTGCTCTCTCTTGTTTTGTTTAGGCGTGTTTTATTCAGGTAGGTGTGTTCGTCCGTCCGTTTGTCCGTTTGTCTTTATTCATTCAATCATTGCGAGTCTGTCGGTCTTTCTGGTCGGTGTGGTGGGTGGGGTGGGTGTGTGAAGTCAAAGTGGTCCCTTCCTGTGCTCTGCAAAGAGGTTTTGTGTGGAAGGAAGGGCTCTTTATCCAAATCACCATACATGTGTGAGCACTGCACGGATGGACTGTGTGGTCTCTGGGGCTGCCTCCGTTGTCGACCTCCATGCCCACCCCTTGGTCGGGAGGGCGGGTAGAGAGGTCGCCGGCGGCAGTCAGCTGACCACACACGCCTGCCGTGCCTTTCTTCTCCAAAGTGGCCTGTCTGTCAGGTCTGTCTGTCTGTCGCTCTAGATCTACGAGTGAGTCGTGGCGATCGATGCTGTGAGTGAGACTGTGAGGGTGCCATTTGTAGACTAGTGCTGGGCACACAAAGGGCACGCCATCCACCTACCTACCTGTCCATCTCATCTGCTCATGGACGCGCACCTCCCCTTGCACCTTCCCACCCACATCGATCGACTGGCCGATAGATTTTGTCTCAGCATCGAGTGGAGTGTGCCTGGAGTGTGTCCATACGCTGCTGGGCTGGGCTGGACGGCTGGGTGGAGTGTATTTCTCCTTTTTCATCTCTTGTTTGTCGTCGATGCATCCATCTCCTTCTATCCCTCTCTCTCGAGCTGATCCCTGCCCGCCTGTGTGCCTGCCTGCCCGCCTGCCTGCCTGCCTGTGTGTGTATGTGTGTTTGTGAGAACTTGACTCGATGCCGTAGGGTCAATCAATCAACAAACATGTGGCCTCCGTCCCCTCAAGAGCTGAATGACCATCTGTCAGGATGTCCGTCTGTCCATCACAGCTCCCTCTAGCTCTCCATTGCACCGCACCGCACCGCACTGCAAGGCGATAGTCACACGGCAAAAACCTGCAGGCAGGCAGGCAGCCCGTCCAATCCTCTCCCCTCTCCATGCGCACACTCACAGATGCACACACGGCGTTCTCTACCTTGTCCACCTCTCGCACACAGGCAGCGAGACACACAGACGGACAGACGGACAAACAAACAAACATACGCCCACAATCATATCACGTTTGAGGTCACAGTTGGGACCTCTTCTGTCGCGCCTCACTGCATCCACCCCTCCATCCCTCGGCCGGCCGCCATGCCCCACGAGTCACTCACATTACAACACTACAATACACTCTCCCATTCATATCATCCTCCCACCCACCCACTACTGTACACTCACTCACGGGTGGCCACAGGCAGAAAGAGCTCTCACTGATTCAAACCACCATCCCTCGAGGCATCCACGCCACCCATCCCCCATCCTCACGCACCCCAGCCAATGCTCTCGTGTCGCATCGACCAGCTGCAGCAGCAGCAGCAGCAGCAGGCGGCTCGTCTCGTCCATCAGCTAGCTCGTTTTAAAGACATCTTTGACGGCAACCTGAGCCCGCCGATACTGCAGTGTGTCGTAGAGCACCTTCCTGAGATACCTGTTTGTTTATCGACACAGACAGACACATCTCGCTCGTTGGGTGATGCCATCCATGATGGGTATCGTGTGTGCCTGTCCGTCAGTCACATTTCTCTTACTGACTTGAGTCGTTTGTAGGCGTCCCTGGACTGCAGGAGCAGCTGCCGCCGCGCCGCGGGCATGTTGGTGAAGAGAGCCAGCACGCCCCACGAGAAATATGACGCATCATCCGAGTCGTACCCCAGCACGTCAAACTTTACTTTTTCCTTGTCTGGGTAGAGCTTCGACACTTGTGCCACCACCTCTTGGAGCTCATTCCACACCTCATCCTTGATCTCCTGCAGCGCCGACGGGTCACCTGGGTGGGTGCACACCACACCACATTCAACCAGCCAACCAATCAGCACAAACACCACACGAGCTGCCCTGCCCCCGCACACGCCGACACGCCCACACGCAGGCAGACTCTCCTCACCGTTGTGGGGGTTGTCTGTTACATTTCTCCTGACGGCAGCGATCACGTAGGGCGGCCCGTCGTCGATGCCGGGCTGGGGGTTGACCGGCGGCTGGACGATCTCGAACCTGTCCTTGGCCTGCACCCATATCTTGGTCCTGCCGTCATCCTGCTCCTCCTTCTTCGTGATCTCCACTATTGTGCCGTAGCGGGCGTACTTCGGCACCACAGCTAGACCCGCAGTCTGATCGAGGGAGGCACAGAGGGAGGGAGGCCATTCACTGGATGGCTGTGTGAGCGTCTACCTGTGTGTGTGCGTGTGCGTGTGTGTGTGTGTGTGTGTGAGTGTGTGTGCATGGCACCATGATCTGGTCGATCATGACGAGCCCGAAGGTCTTGTTGCCAGCGGCTTCAAGGTCGCTCAGCAGCTGTCGATACCTGGGCTCCTCGACCACAATCTCCCTCGTCGTGAAGTAGGGAATGGTTACAAGGTTGACGGCCGGCCAAACCGGTACCCTCTCGACGTCCCCCGTGGGCTCAGACACCACATCTCCCAGGAATGCAGGCTCCGGTGAGTGCAGGAGCTTCTCGCCCTTGTAGGGGTCCTCGTACGGCGAGGGCGGCCTGTCAGGATCCTCGCTCTTTGGCGCAGGCTGCATATATATTGGCCAACACACACACACATGCAGAGACGAGAATGCTCCTCTCTGTGATGGATGAGTGGCGCTGGCTGGTGGGCCTCACTCTGTAGAAGAACCCCTTGTAGAGCACAGTGGTAGGCCTGTCCTCCCCTCGCCTCCTCGGCGCGTGCTGCTGGCCTCGTGAAATGAACCCATGCCGGCGGAGCGATGATAGAGCCTGAAACGCTGACGAGCGGCAGATGACGCTCAGCAGGAGCACGAGGGGCAAACACAAAGGGGAAAGCTGCATTGTCATAGTGGCCAGAGATCTGGAGGGTTTCAGGTGCAGGGTTTAGCTCGCCCCAAGGGCAAAGATCGCCGGAACGGGCCGCAGGCATGGTATGACACTGCGGCAGATCTATCTAGAGATCTTTCCCACAGCGACTTATGGCTTATCTTAAGCAGACCAGGCGGTTCGTGACGACGTCCCCGGACTCATTGCCGCTGCCGATGGCGCCTCCTCCCTTCCATCACACCGTGCGCCGCCTCCACTCATCGCAAGGCATGGCAGTGGAAGCCGATGAAGATCTGCCTTCGGTCCACTGCACTGGCGGCGACCCCGTCAGCGAGATGCAGACAGCTCAGACTCATCCTCTGGTGGCGAACGGGCATCGCTTTCGGCGTCACTGCCATTATCATCGCGAGGATGCCAGTGACGTGCCTGCAGTGCGTGTCCGGTTCCATCTGCCGTCGTGTGAGGGGCCGCAGCTGGTGACCCTCTGCCGCTACCATGCTACGCCCAAGAGGCAGCGACGGAGGGCCGACAGGGAGACTGTCATGAAGGTCACGCCAAAGGTGGAGGGGTGGGCCTTTTGGGACGCAGTGGCTAAACGGACCACGGCCTTGACGGAGATGGAGAAACAGCGGCAGGAGGCAGCGAACGACCGGACGACGGCTGGTGCGGCGCTCTCATCGGGCGAGTTGATGGACATTGTGACGGCTATGACGCGAGTGGGCTATGTCAACGATCCCTTCTTCGCCGACACGCTGCCTGCGTGCCTCACATACCTGAGGCACCGACGAAGGCAGGATGGGCACAGTGACGACTCGACGGGTGGTGCAGCATTGTCACAGTGGAGCTCATCTGATGTCATGCATCTCGCTGTGGTCTACAAGCGGCTCGGCTGCCGGGAGAGGACAGCCGACCGGCAGCGGGACACCTCGGCCGTGTGGCGGCTGATCTACGACGAGCTATTGACGCGAACCGATCTTCCTCTGATCGTGGTGAGCTCCACGCTGAATGCGTTCAGTCAGCTGTGGAGCCATCACGGCCCGGCTCTCCAGCAGCGCACCGGCCTCTCCCTTGACGACATCCGCGTCTTGTTCGATCGCTGTGGCGGCATCGTAGCTGACCGGCTGCTGCACTATGAGCGGGTGGCGGCGGAGCATCGCCAAAGGGAAGACCAAGAGCTCACTGCGCTTCAGGAAGATGAGTATGGCGCCTTTGACGCAGACGCCGATGTGGATGCCGTCAAGCGCCACCTTGCAGAGAAACACGATGACTGGGCCTTCGCCAAAAAGTGGAGCGGAACAACTGTCTGGCGGCCAAGTGCCCGGCAGCTGAGCACTCTGGCGAATGCGTTCGCACAGGTCGAGTACAGCCACCCTGTGCTGATGCCGATCCTCTGGCGAACCATTCCACGGCTGCCTCTGCGCTTCGACGGCACCTCACTGTCACTCCTGTTTTCGGCCTACTGGCGGCTGCGGCCGCTGGGGGATGGGGAGGATGGGCTGGCGTACTGGTTGGACTGGATGGCCAAGAAGTGGATGGGACGGTTGACGGGGCGGGAGCTGAGTGTGGTGGCAGCAACCGTGGGGAAACGCCTCGCCAATGAGCCCTTCCGACAAAGGCAGCTGACGAACCTCATTACCAAGTGAGGCCAGCCAGGCCGATGGACTGGCTGCAGGAATCACGTTGCCTGCCTGT